CCACCATGGACCAGTTAGGGCATTCATACGAATCTACGGTAGGTGTTTTTGTACTCACCATTCTACCATACCAAGCCGCACGACTTCGTTTGCTTCCATAATAACAGAACATTTGAACTCTTTTGTACGTCGGGTAATCTTACAACCTGAGGCTGAATCAGGAGCTTATCCACTTTTGATGAATTAACGGCATCTTGTAGGGGATATGTCAACGAACTAGCTATTGTATAGAATAGCGAATTTGAAATACTTGTTTTGAGTAACAACGGGTTCAGCCAGGTGCATCGGCTCTCTACAAGCCATTTGCCTTCTGAAGCTTTTGAATTTGGTTGAGGAAAATCCAGGTCAGCTGCAGGGACAAGGCAAGAGGAAGGGGCACAGCAAGCCACCAAATTAGAACCACAAGATTCAGACAAATCCTTGCATAGCAGGGCAAATCCAGTGTGGAGACCAACATATACCACCACATGAAACCTCCGAACTCCACAACATCGAGCCCAGGCATACCATGACGTACGAAACGAAACGTTCATTGCAGGTGGCAAAGCGTATGGAATCGAGCTTGAGCGGCACTCACTCAAACCACAGCAGACCGACATGCTATGATGACATCTTACCCACTCTACCCCAATAGCAGGACCCACACCCCAACAGCAACCCCACCCACACCCCAAGATCACACCACCCCAAGACCAATACACCTGACCCACACACACCATGACGTGGGCACGATGATTCTGCAGCAAGTGGCGAAGCGGGTGATAAACTCGAGGGGGCCGCCCTGCTTGAGAGTCTTGAGTGGCTCACCCAACCCCCGCCAAACTATCAAACCAACACACTTCAAACCAGCACAGAAATACCCCAAACCAGCAATCAGAAGCACGTCAAGCCCTGAACCCACAAGCACCACCACACCAGACCCACACATTCCATGACGTGGGGCGCAATACGTACGCTGTAGGTGGCGAAGCCGGTGTAGAACTTGAGCGGGCCGCCCTGCTTTAGCGACTTGAGCAACACACCCAAACCACACCAAACCGACACACCAAAACCCCAAACCAGCACACACAATCACGTCACGCCCACCCACGCCACCGCACTGAACCCACACGCACCATGACGTGGGGCGCAATACGTATGCAGTAGGTGGCGAAGCCGGTGTAGAACTTGAGCGGGCCGCCCTGCTTGAGCGTCTGCATGACGCAATCCATGGAGGAGCTGTACGGCAGCTTGCCGTCCGGCCCCGGCTTCTGCTTCTGGATCTGCGTCTTCACGTAGTCGAACGGCAGACTGCACGCCGAGGCAAAGAATCCGGATACCGCGCTCGCGCCTGAGGGGTGGGGGATAACGGAAAGGATGGGCGGGGGGGGGGGGTGTTATGGGCTTCTGCTTCTGGAAATGCGTCTTCACGTAGTCAAAGGGCAGACTGCAAGCGGACGCGAAGAAACCAGACACCGCGCTCGCGCCTGATTGGTGGAGGACGGGGGAGGAAGGGGAGAGGGGGGGAGTTGGCGCGGTTGGCAAAGCGGAAGAGGCAAGAGGGTTTCTGCTTCTGGATCTGCGTCTTCACGCAGTCGATGGGCAGACTGCATGCCGATGCAAAGAACCCTGAAACCGTGCTCGCGCCTGAGGGGTGCGGGATGGGTGAATGATGGATGCGGGGATCAGGCAGGATCGGGACAGCAGAAGAAACACCAGGCTCGTTTCCGGGGGTTAAAACAAACGAGGGAGGGGGGTGGCCGAGAGAAGGAAAGAGATAAGAGCAAACCATGTTCTCCGTGGTCCCACCGTACGACGCCAGCCTGCCCACGTTCAGCGTCATGCCCCCCACCACCAGAACTCCCCTCTAAACCCACGCTGATTACTGTCACATCCCCGCTACAAGCAAGCACCGATAACAGCGGGGATCTCCTTGAGCTGGAGCGTGTCCTTCGTGCTCTGATCGTACGACGCCAGCATGCCCATGTTCAGCGCCATCGCGCGCCTAACAACCCCAACCCACGCATTACTCTCTCATCCCCGCTATAAGCACGCACCGATAACAGCGGGGATCTCCTTGAGCTGCAGCGTGTCCTTGAAGTACTCCATGCTCTGATCGTACGACGCCAGCATGCCCATGTTCAGCGCCATCGCGCGCACCACCGTGGGGCCCGCGCCCTTCCACAGCGCAGTCACGCCCTCGTCAGTCGCTATTTTTGTTAGAGCGTGAATCGCGTTCTTGTACCCGCGGCGCTCCGCCACGGGGAGCACGGAGTCCGCCTGCATGCGGATGAGCGCGAGGTCCGCGGGGCTGCCGAAGCACGCGCCGATGGCGCCCGCCGTCAGCCCGCACGCCGCCTTCTGGTAGAGCGGCAGGGGCTTGCCGTCGTTGGCCTTGGTGGCTTCCGTGGTGAGATACCTGCGGATAAGCGACGGGAGGAGTTCAAACGAGGTGCCTGGGGATGAGCGAAACAAGAGCTTCACGGATGGGCCTCACAATGCCCGAAAAAAGGCTTCTAGAGGATTTCCTGAAGAGGAGTGGATACGGAGGGGGTAGGGATTCGTGAACGTGCCCTGCACGCTTACAGCATCTCTCGGCGCACTGACGCGGAGAGTAAATGAAGTGGGGCATCCCGATCAGACTGTGGGCTACGGTCTTTTACAACCATCCATCCACTCGGCGCTGAGCCTGGAGTCGACCAGATCTTATTTCAGTGGCTCACTTTCGCGCAATGTGGTTCCATAGCAGATGTTGTGTTACGAATCTACATCCTTAGCACTGTCGATGCACATCGCTGGCATGACATGCGCTGACACGCTTAAAAGCGCGAGGATGCATGGACCTTCGCTAAAAGAGGTAGTTGTCTGGTATTAGAGTGTTAGGAGAGCAATGCAGTATGCGATTGAGGAATGCGAAGTACCTGAAGGATCCAAGGCGAGCGGTGGTGTACGTGGCTTGTCGGAGGAGACCCGCAGACAAACCCTGAAGGGTTGCGAAAAGAGAAAGGGGAAAGGATAGTAACACGATCAGCAGAAGACAAGATGGCGAGTGCTCGACTCGCACGCAAACTTCGTGGATCGGAATAGAAAATGCGAGGCAAGAGTCGAGATGAGATCTCGACTCGGCAAGGCAGCCTTCAGAAACAGCCAATCCTCATTCTGGACGACGAAGTAGACAGAATCGCTGGACGAACAATGGACGATCGAGCCTTGTTGACGCAGCTGGAGATTTACTTCGTAAAGCCATTATGCTTCGATTTAAGAAACGTGGTCGTACCCATCAGGAGGGTGCCAAAACCTTGTGTCGAATCATGACGTTACCTTGTAAAAGGACGCGACGCCCTCCTTCTGGATAATATTCTTTGTAACATCAAACGCCGAGCCCTGGCCCAACTGGATCCGGACCTGTTGTATGCAAGGGAATAAATCGGCGACAGGGAAGAAATACAAATCGAAAGAAATATATAAAAATTGAATCACGAGCAGTGAATGTTCAGTAAAGGATCGTGATAGAATGGTTCAGTTGATTCACTCAAGATCACGTGGTTCAAGAACGCCAACGGTCAGATTAGGTCGGCTTCAGGATGCAAGTAACGAACCTTAACCATGTCGATAGGTTGGATCACGCACGTGGCCATCATACCGGCCGTTCCGCCGTTCATGAACGGCTTCACGGCACCCCACACCGATCCCTTCTTCTGCTCCGCCATGTCTGATCGATCGGCACACAGAAGCTAATCGACAGCTGATCTGCGCGATCGACGGGAAAGACAGCCGGAGCAGGACAGCGGGACAGCACACCGAGCTGAGTAGCTCACCAGTCTTTGCTATCTCTTGCAAACACTGGACTTGTATTCCTCATCAACTGAAATACAAAGCCAGATATCATCAGAGTGGCTTCCAGCACAATTCCCAAGGTCAACAGGACTCGAGTGGACTCCAACTCAACTGTGTGCCTTGGAGCTAGCCCGTCAGGAGAGAACCAGCAATTACGGGAGAACTCTCCAAGTCCCTGTCAACTGTTCTCAAGCGTCACTTCGCCACGCCAGATCTGTGGAGCCTTGAACGGACCGAGCTGGAGTTTTTGGTAACCACTTGCACTTGTATGCAGAGGTGGCATCTTTGAAAACCGTGAGATTCTCCTCCTTGGTGGTTTGCGAAAACATGATGCTGTCGCATATTTCGTAGCCTGTTAATTGCCACCACTCACGGAAGTGCGGGAGCCTATGGTGTTGTGCCCACTGAAACGAGAGTCGTTGCCATTGGTGTGCTGAAACTCGCAGAAACCCAGTTGGCCACACCCTCACCACCGAGCCACAAATGATGGTTCCAACTGTTCCCAGGAACTTCAGATATTTGCTTACAACTTCGCTACTGCTTCATTATCGTAAACAGATAACCTCATTTACGTAGAGTATTTTCTTACAGACCATAGCGTTTCCTAAATCAACTGGACTACTTATGCTTATCCTAACCGCATACAAAATAGACTAGGCTTCTACCCCAAAGTGTTTATGCCGTTGGCATATTTTGCTTGATTACATTCAGCAAAATAGACTAGGCTTAGACTGGGCTTCTAACCCAAAATAGACTAGGCTTCTATATCATTTGCCTTGCATTAATTTAGCACTACCATTACTCGCTGGAGGCTCGAAAAGGATTCCGATGGAGCTTGTCAGTCCTGGATTAACTGATCAGGTTTGCTTCCAAAATTGGTCTTGAGAAAAAAATAACAAAATGATTCCACACGCATCAACTACATGTGATGGGTCCTCCCTATTGATCCTATGTAAAGCAACTAATCCGCCAAACCTGTAGCCATTGAGTTGACGACATGGCACACTCCATCCGAACCTGTAGCCATTGGTGTCTCCGTAAGGCTTCTCATGCGGAAGGAGACACATACGCGCTACAAGCGCGCCGTATAACGCGCATTCGTATATGCTTTCACAAGCGGGCCTGCAAGCTTCAAGCAGGCCCTTTCCCGTATACCCTTCAAGCGGGCCGTTCCCGTATTCGCGTTACGCGGGGAGCTTGGTGCCCACGGGGAACTGGGGGTTATCAACACCGTGCGCGACAATGTACGGGCCGACGTACATCTGCGGATCAATCACCGTGCTCCACGTGGGCCTCAGCAAGCCCTGCTGCCCCAGCACCACCTTAGGCCCCACCGCCGACATCTTCACGAGGTTCACCCCCTTAAGCTGCGTCGGCAGCAGCTGGCCCTTCTTGATCGCCTGCAGATCCGGCAGCTGGAGGCGCGTGGCGATGATCTGCACGGCCGTGAGGTTGTACGCCGCGTCGTTGGAGATCTTCTTGCCCTTGAAGCGCAGCGACAGGCGGTCCGCCACCACGTCGCTCATCAGCAGAATCGTGCAGCTCTGCAGCGCCGTCAGGTTGTACTTGGAGCTGACTGTATCGGGGATGGACGGGGAGGGAGGGGAGAAACAGGGTTAAAAAAAGACACGGTCAGGAAAGGAAGGATGGTCGACGGAAGTTGTTACCGCAGGATATAAAGCGTGGGAGAGCCGAATGTGGCAATATAGCGTGCGAGGATCAGAAAGAGTGTGGCATAACAGCAGGTAGGATCGAAAGTTGGGGAGCTGAGTGAACGGCCGGGTACACTAGCAGGACTACTTCAGTGCCCTTTTCTGGGCGTTCAATGTTCCGGGGCGCAATTTCTCGGTGCTGAGCGTGCTGCGACGGGACTCACGGGCAACGTTGATGGCCTTGTTGACTTGCGCCGAGTACTTGGAGTATTTCGGGTACTTCTGCGTGATCATCGTCGTCAGCTTCTTCAGCTCGGCGCGCAGCTGCGTCTTCGTCGGTGGCGGCTTCGGCTTCGGCGCTGCTCCCGTTCCTGTTGCCGGCGCTCCCTTGCCGGTCGGAGCAGGCGTTGTTACCGGCGTTATCGCGCTGACGCACGACACGGCGCAGATGACGGCCAGCGCGGCTAAAGCGACGGCGAAAGCGACTGAACGAGCCATGGCTCCCTTTGACTCGCGTCAAGTCTGTCGACAGAGGCTGGCTGGCGTGGCTGATCGACTAGAATCGAAGGATCAGACTAAATGTTTCTGGATCGGGATGCTTTTGAGTCGACTCAAAGGCAAGCAAGGGATATTGCGTCGAATGAGAACTGTCACTCACAAAATAGAGAGTTTCGATGGCTCGAGAATGCGAATGGAGATGTGAGCAGTGACTGACTGTCCGAAGTTTGCATTGAGCTATTTTTAAAGACCACCAACAGGCACAGGCAACTCGCCGTGTTCTCGTCGGTCGTCTGTTCTGTGGGAGCGGTTCGGCAAGGCTTCGGGGGTACCGTACCTTGCCACCGAAGGAGAACAATAGCCGTTTCCGCGCTTGACAAAACGACTACCATACTACTTGCAAGGACGCTTCCTTTCCGTCCCGTATCTTTCTGAACGTTGGGTGAGGCAAAGTGTGTGCGTGGTAGCAACACGACCCAAACGAGAATCGAGTGCGGTGGAGCGAGCTGTGTTTTTTGCGCGCCTTCAAAATTGGAAAGCAGCGGGCCACCGCCGGCGTTGTAAGGAGACGCGGGAAATTCCACTGGTTTGGCTGGAAGGCGACTCGATGAGTGCGGACCGTCGTGGTGCATGTGCTGAAATTTGAAAGGCGGGATTTGCCAGGCCGCAGCAGTGGTGGCTGGAAACGAATGTCAAAGATGTCGGTCGCCCACATGCCCGCTTACCGAGCACCCGATCAAGCTCATCTACACCATCTTTCCTAAATTGTAGTTCCAACATAGAACCCTGACAAATTAGCTACATTATTCAACTTCAAGAACAAGCGCCGCTATCACTTCAAATAGAAACGTAATGGCGCTTTAACAAATCGAGTAGGTGTCGGCCAAGATATAGAACATATGCATGCTATACAACTTGGCATACATGAAGGTGGCATTGATGTTCTTATGTAGTTGATATTTGAGACCCGGTAAACCAATTCAAGCATAATCAGCTGACATGCAATATTTCAGCTGTTGTGTTTATGATTGGTTAGGGGATGTATATGATATGGAGCTTCTTGAACAGGATGTAGATATAATGAAAATTCTTGCTCCATGTTGCACCCGGACTAGTCTTACGCGCGCACTATTCACGAAGAAGCTGGTGGACGAAGTCGGGTGTACGTATCTGTTCAAGCCAGATGTCCGTGTTTGAAGAAGACAAGTTCATGTCATGCATTTGCTGTTCATATGACCTGTGGCGCGGTGACCGAACTGTCGCACCTAGCATTCTCTTTTCCGAGATTGGAGGAAAAACATTTGCAGAATCTTGGAAGTTTCCTTTATTTGCGCCACCATTACCGTACTGAACCATTTTGAAACGTTATATCACCATTAACCACTCAATCAGAAACAACACCAGGGCAGGCTACTTTCGTGAGAATCCCTTCATCCCCATCAACGGGAATGCGGACGACGAGGGCGCGGATGGGACGGACTGCAACGAAAAAGGCACAAAAGGTGCCCCCCGTGTGAACTTTCCAGCGTGTAACCGAAGATTGATTGGTTTGGTGGTGAAGCACTTTGTACGTGCACCGTGGCACTCGAGTGCAGCGTGTCATTCGAGTCAGTGAGTTTTTGCAGACATGCGTGACACAAAACTATGAAGTGAGCTGAAATAGTGCTGTTGATTGCTCATCTTTGTTAATTTTCGCTGAAATAAGCCGGTTGAACCCGATCGTCCCCCCAAACAACTGTACTGCAGTGTTATTCTGGTCATGCTGGGCATTCTTGTCATTCGTTCAAAATGTTCAGACACTGCCAGTTCCCATGCTGTCGACGCACAGTGACAACAAATATCTGGGACTGGGGAGATATCGTAAAATATCTAAAACCGATCTCTCCCGCTTTCTCCGTTTCCCCCCACCCCCGCATTCCCAATCCAAAACCCCCATTTCCCCCACTCCCCCCATATTTCCAACGACTTCCTTCCCCGAGCTTGCACCCAAACTGCATTGGCGATAGAATCTCGCGTCGCTCTCTTTGGCAGTTCTGCTCTTCCCTCCTCTCGTCATTCCACCACATCAACCCCTCTTCAAATTAGAAATACACGAAGCAAGCATTTTCTAATTCCGTTCTTCCAGTTTCAACAACCACTGATTCTACTTTCTCTTCAACGTCATGGCTGGCCGAAAATCTTCGAGTAAGTCCCGGATCCGCATCGCGAGCTTCGATGGCCTTGAGCCCGTTATCGTCGTGCTCCCAGACGGCTCGATTCGCCTCTTCTCTCACGACAACGAGCCACTCTCAGCCCGAACCGTCTTATCAGAATTCCCCAGCATGAGCCTCGCGACGCTCGACAGCCTCGTTTCCCCGTCCGCCCCGCTTCTGCCGGGTGAAACCTACTTTCTCACGCCGAGACGGGGTGTCCGCTCGCGAAGAGGCCTCCTTAATCCGTCTCGCGACCCCACCTCCTGCGGCTTGGGCCGGCACATCCTCCTTTCGCTCGCCGGCGAGTTTCCCTTCGCGCAGCCCCCGCGCCGTGAGCGACGGCGAGATCCCGCTGATGCGAAGCGGCGCCGCCGGCGGGTGGGCTTATCGACGCGACCTAGAGGCAAGCGTCGAAAACGTGTCGTTCCATCAAGCTGCGACGTTTCCGGCGGCGACGACGACGACGACGACGACGACGACGACAACGACGGCGGCGGCGGCAATTGAGTCGATTCAAACCGTCGGTGTGTGGTCGCGCGCATCGTCGTCGTCGGCCGTCGAGTCGCCAAGTTGCGCCAGCGGCAGCACGCAGAGCCGCGGGGAGACACTCGAAACCTGCTTCGCCGCGCACGAAAGCTTCGGTTCGGGTCGAGACAGCAGCTTTGGCTCGGGCCGAGCCGGTGACGACAACGATGATGATGAGTCGGACTTGAGCCAATACGATCACGACGGCTCGTCAATTTCTTCTAACGGCCGTCACGGTTACTACACCGGCGATTCAAAAGCGCCTGTGCGCCAGAATCCGAGTACGTACAGCGGCGCGCAGCGCAGTAGCGGCGACGATTCCGGGCTTCACGCCGATGAGGCTCCATCGCGATGCGACGTGTCCCCTTCCCCGCGAGCCACGCCGAACGCCATCCTCGCCGAGGTAAGAGGCCGTCACTTGTTAACATTTCTGCTCGAATCAATAAGTTGAAAAAAATAAAATAAAGAACAAAAGCACCTAATGGTTGATAGAATTTCAGGCCAGGCAGCTACATGGCTGTTAAACGCGGTTGAAAAATTGCTGCTTAGTGACGCGTTCCTCCCTTCCTTGCTGCTCTCCCTGCAGTTGGCGGTTCTCGAAGAGGAGCTTCCCCTTGACCTACCCCTTGAAGGGCCTGACGCGCTTGCTGAGGCGGACGCGTGGTGCAGCAGCCCCGCTACCGCCCCTGCGACATCCGATGGCGCATCCCGCGCTCCCCGCGCCCCGCCGTCCGCCGTCGCAGACGCGGCGTCGCTTAAGGGCAAGGTGCTCGCGGCACTCGCGCGCTTCAACCCGCGCCATCTGCGGCGCGCCGCGTCGTCTTCATCATCCGGCAAAGAAGCCATACCTGCTGCGCCTCCGCCTGGAAGCGCGGAGTTCGCCAGGCGCCACGGGAACCAACCCCCGGTCGCAATGGCTCCAGCGGCTCATCGTGGCTTTAGTCGCGCGGTGACGATGTGTGGTGACGATGCTGAGTCAGAACAGGGCTGGGTTGACGTGGAGGATCCTGTGCTCATGATGACAGACACACGCATCCGCCACCGCGCGCCGCCCGGTTCTAGAAGCAGCACCGTCATGATGGGACGGCAGGGAGGATTCGCACAGCAGGAACGGCATTCTGAGATCACTGGGACACATTTTTCCAGAGGAGCTGCAGGAGTGATTAACCCGTCTGCTCCCGTGCAACTCCAGCGTGCTCCTTCCCTTGAAGCTGCACAGCGGGGTGAACACTCGTTTGAGGGCTGCGACGAGTGGCACAGGTATGCTTCTGGGTTGACACGCAGGCAGAGGGCGCAGGTCAGGCTAAGCGAGGATTCCATGAGGGACCGAAGAGGTAATGCAGCAGTCAGAAACGAGTACGCCATGCTTCCTAGTGAGAGATACCTGTCTGGACCTCCCCTCCAAGCCACGTATTAGTGTGTGTGCACACATGTAGCTTATGCAGTTCACTGCTTGCTTGTCTATCCCTAGGGCCTGGAGCTTCATTATACTGCGTGTTCACGTTGGAGACCAGCGTAGTTTTGTAATGTCCTTTGTCTGTTCCACCCACAAGGATTTGCAGCCCCAGTGGGTGTTAGCTATTGCATGGTTTTACTAGTAGTTCAATTCAATGTGTTGATCAATTGCTAGTCTTTCGGTATTTCACCCACAACCACTTTGCTGTATGCTCCAATGCGAAGGAATAGCTGTGCTTGTGCAGCAGTACAATGCGAATGTCAATGCATGATGTGAATGACAGCCACATGATTGTAGACCTCCCCATTCTTGCCAAACACCACAATTGGTAAACCGGCAGTCAGAATCTTGCTGTTGCCGGGCAAGCCCAAAAGCTCCTACTCAAGTTTCTTCAGTGCAGTGACTGAAGCACCCTTGAGCAAATCCTCCCTGCAATCCTTCCACCAGCACAAGCACAGTCCATGCATCCCCCCTGCACATCTGAATTCCCGAGGATGAGAGGGCCAGCTGTTCGAACCTGCAGCTGCAAATCTTCTCAGAGTGAATCAACTTCAGCTCCGACCTTCCATATTTGCTTCTGCTTCTGAAATATGCTTATGCCTTCACAACTGTAACCACTAGGAAGCAGAAACCACGCTACCTACCCAGGTGCTATCTCAGACGCTGCTGCAAAGCTGCTGTAAGGTTGCTCGCATGTGCCCCCTCGCCTTTTTGAAGGGAAACTCACTTCTCTGAAGTCACTTCACGCTCCCAAAGGATATTACATTCCCTGAGAAATCTCACTCCCTGGAGTGATTTTGATTTCATTCTCCCTGACCAGCCTGAGAAAAGTGCCCAAAAGCAGTCCGCACTTCTCTGATAACCTCATGGCTCAGCCTCAGTCTGGTGAGAGGACCAAAGAAGAGGAAATGCGCGGAAACAAGGGAGCTCCCTACCACGAATATCCACGCGGCTACATCCTTCCACCCCCACAGCTTCAGCCGTGCTTCGTTTCTAGAAGCTATTCCAGAGTGAGTGGCTCCTCCTGGTGCAGATTTCTCGGCCTTTCTGCTCTGGCTTCCTTTCCCTGACCGCTGACGCATTATGTAACATTCTGTCGCCGAAACTATCCCGTGGAGAGTGAAGAACATAGTCATTTCGCCCGTAACCCGGTTACTCATGTACCAAACGGCCATCTCGTGAGCCAATCCGGACACGAAGAACGTCGCCAGCATCCCCACCAGCTTCGCTAGTCTACTCTCCGTTATTGGTGCCTTGCTCTGAGAGTTCCGTTCAGCTCCGTTACAATGTACCCCACCGTTCTGTATCGCACCGTTCTGCTTCTCGCCATTTTGTATCTGAGACATCCGAGCTTCAGCAGGGTGCGAGTCGTCGTTCCTATCAGCTGCCGCTGTCCCTGCTGCTGCTGCTGCTGCTGCAAACGCCGCTGATTCTGCTTCAGACGCTGATGAGGATGGGACTGTACGGGGAGTGGTACACCACAGGACCGCGAATTTCACGGGCTCAAAAATAGTTTCGCGAAGGCACGTACTGACGGTGAGATTCCACCGTCGAGACCAGAGCTCCTGGAATGACGTGGCGAAGTACGGATGGTTGAAGTGAGGCAACATCTTGATGTCCAGGAACGCTGCTGCGACGCCAGCGAAAGTTTCGCAGACGATGGTTACGAAGAGGAAGAGGTTACACGATAAGACGACGTGCATTAAGAAGAGCGGCGCGACGTCGAGATACGCCATCAGCTTAGTCAGATGATAAAAAACCAAAAGCTTAAAGCTGCTCCGGATTAAGAGCATAGTCCACGTTTCCGACTGTATGGTATCAGATATCCAACCAATCACGCCCTGCTTAGCCACGTCCGGACCAAGTTTTCCAGAGACGTCCTTCGAGATCGGCTGGATGTGAATTGGGAGGGAAAGAGCTGCGACAAATCGGTAAATGTCGGACGAAATCCAAGGACTGGAAAGAACGCCGGTATCCCAGCAGAAGCACAGGAGCTTGAAGGAGCTGAGCCAAGTTGTGATACAGTAGACAATCACGACGCCAAGAATCGGATCCTCTTGCCGGAAGGTCCATGGAAGAAAGACGTTCGCCGTAAGAGCTGGTATGGAGACGATTAGTCTGGGAAAGCCGACTCGCGTGGGTTTGACTACGATGTAGCAGTACAAGGCGATCAGTAACGCGCCAGCACCGGCGAGAGCCCATCCTTGTCCCCATGTCACATCCAGCGCCATCGAAGGGTGCTGATAAAACCTAACAGGAAGCAGCGATTCTCAAGCACGGCGGGAATGCATTCACGCCTATCCTCAACAACCTAGGGATTGACGAGAGGTTTCTGTGATGCGTCAATCTACCATAGTCCATGGCATTTTGACAATAGAGACCTGCATTTGTTGTAGTGAATCTAGAAAACTGTCGGCAAGGCAAGCTTTCAAAACGTTGATGCGCGATTCTGTGCCTCCTTGAAGTTGCTCTTTCAGCAACTGATACACAAACGAGTTTTTGTGGGAGTGGGGGATTCTTTCTCTGAACCGCTTATTACCGTTTAAAAAACGCGAGTCACCATACATATTCCGCGGAAATGCTTCCGTTCCATGTTCCCCCCACCGTTTCATGTACAGTATCTCGTGGTCGTGGTTCCAGTTGATGCACCTTGCACCACGCACCACGCAACATGCACCGCACACCCATTTGATCTATGGTGACGGTGCGGCAATCCACTGACTGGTGCCTCATCAAAACACATCTACGGGTCGAATGTGTTCTCTTCAAGCTGAAACCCAATCTTGACCTTCGATCCTCCGCGAGATTTGGGGTTGGTTTCCTGAGCTCCTGATCCCAAGGCGATGTGCGCCGTCGAAGTCCGGATGTTCGCACATCCGATCACTTGCGAAGAATATGACGAGCAGCGATCGGTGCGCCAGTGACGATGGGTGATGGTTCGAAGTGCTAGCTGTTACAGTCACCCCTGAAAACGCACGAAATAGAAATCACCACAACTGAAATTCCACTTTCATTACACATCCACGAGCACATTTGCAGGAAACATCAGAGAGATGGATGTATGGAGTGTTTGAGATGTCATCAATATCTGTACATAGCCATATTGTGATCCATTACCAGAGCAAAGCTCTACATTGGATTTTCAATCAACTAATCCGGGTTTCTCCAGCTAATTGCTGCAGCTGAGCAGCCTTCAAAAGGTCCTCTGAGATCAAACTCTTGCGGGAGTGCGACCTAAAAATGCGACCACTGGATGCAGGATTGGCTCTATAAGTGCCATCAGAGGTCCCAGGTCTAGGACATGTGACCTTTGGATGAACGAGCGATGCACCGGACGGATAGTAGCCCGAACTGCTGCGATTATCCCTTTCTTGCTCCGTTCCATCTGCGGTTTCATCAGCACCCTGTCTCATTTGCGTGAGCTGCTCCGACGCGCTTGCGCTCTGATTAGGTCGGTCGCGAAGTGATGTTGATATCCTCCTTTCCCAGGATCTCTGACGACATCTGACGTCAAGTTCCATCGTCCCAGAACAAACCGCCTCCAGATCGACCGGGGAACTTCTAGAACGCGCTGAGATCGAAGTAGCAATTCGTGTTGGCCGCGGATGCGAAAAAATTCGTCGCACGATCTGATACGTGCCTCCTGGCTTCAGTACCCGGTTTGGCGACAACGGCGCGAAGCCGCCATCGGAGGTGGTAGCGAAGACGTCGTGGTCGGGATACTGGACAAGAACGCGGTGCGCCGTGATCGAAACGGAGTCGAAATCCGTCGCGTAAAGTCTGGCGGAGCCGTCAGGGAGCATGACGACGATGGGCTCTGCGAAAGCCAAAACGTCGCTGGAACTCCTGCGATGAAAGCGAGGTGGAGTCAACATAATGCTGCTCGACTCGACGCGACTGAGATTAAGAACCCCTGGCGAGGCCGAAGTTACTCAAGGAAAGAACCAGAAGGCTGGATGATTCAGAACCCCTGGCGAGACGAAGACAAGACTAAACAGAAGTTGGGAGGCTGAATTTATCAACCTGTGCTAATGTTCCACAATTCAGCCTGACGGAAGGTTGCGGTAGATGAGATGATCTGAGGGACGCGGTGCAAGTGACTAACGCACAGGACCTTGACACGCCACGCCATCCTGGTCCTCAGGCGTTTTGGCATAAGAACCTCCCCCCTCACCTCAACACAAGAACTAGATCCATAGCTGAGCTGCCTGCCAGCGAGGCGGAAGAATGTCGTTGTGTGACGTTCAAACGTGCGGTTACTCTCCCCGCTGTCTCAACCCGCGGCAGGTGCTCTGTGCTGCTGCTTTCATGCTGCTTTGTGCGATCTATGTTACCTCAGATACGGAATCCCAAATTGTTGCCAGAATCTATGATCACTCCAGGACGCAGCATGCCGTACACAAGAGTTAGCGCCACACGGTTCGCGGTTCGTTGGGAATCTCCGCCACAAGTGCGTGCGGAGAGTCCGGCGTGCCTGGTCCAGCACGATGAAGAATGTCTTGCGCAATCGGGAATGGGTACAGTAATCGACAGAATGAGCAATGAGAAAGAGCAAAAGGTCCCACCGAGAATTGAACTCGGGCATTCAGATTCAGAGTCTGACATCATAACCGCTAGATCATGGGACCACGGCATTACAAAAATTTGAGCTTTTCTATACCTTGTTATTGCTTATTGAAGCAATCAAACCACCAAACCAAAGCAATCTAATCCAATACACGAATCAACAATATATGTTGACTGCAATTCATTCAACTACACTTTAGAAACAACAGCCAACACTTGCTGAATGTAATCAGAGAACGTGAAGTCAATCACGTTCAACTGTTCTCCCTCACCCTTGCTCTCCACTGTCTCCTCCAATCTCACTTGAACACATCTAGGCATCTTCTCTTGGTTCAGGATGCCTCTGTAGTGCATTATAACAGGCATCCCGGCTTCATAAGAAGCATTCCAAACTTCCCCTGTAGCATTCCCCGGAAGCAGCACTTCATGAACTGTAACCTGGTCAATTCTCCGCGGGTCCAAAACCACTTTCCTCCGTCCAAAGTGCTCCGGGCAGAAAAAAGCTTTTGATGTGTTGATGGTGGCGGGTTCACTGTAGTTGAGGCTGCTGCAGATGGGCAGTCGACTCCTCATGGGTAAATATCCCACCAGCAGCTTCTCCTCCCTGAGCCCTTGGGCCTCATATCCATTTATCTCCTCCTCACCAGACCCTCCTGCTGTTTCCATCAACTCCCTTGAGCCTCTGCTTGTGCTGATAAGTCCAGTGCTGCTACTGCTGCTGCTGCCACTGCTGACAACACCACTAACACTGCCTCTGCTGCTGCTGCTGCCGCTGTCACTGCCAGAGCTGCCACTGCTGGAGTCATCAACCACCTTCTCCCGGCAGCGGGTGATGAAGCCCCAGTACGCGCCCATAGACGCCCACGCGCGGCTGGAGCGTGCCAGCGCTGCCAGCGCGGAGGAGAGCGATGCGGGCGTGAAGATGTACTCGTCCATGTCCGTGAAGATAAGCCATCTGCGGGAGGGAGTGGGAAGATGGGAAGCGGTAAGAAAGGGTGCAGATGGGTCAGATTGCGAGGAGGTTAGGGAGTGAAGATGTACTCGTCCATGTCCGCGGAGAGGAGCCATCTGGGGGGAGAGGGGAAAAAGGAAGGAGGGGGTGAAAGTACGAAGATATGAGTCAGAAGTGCAGGAAGGGGGGCGATGCGGTTGGTCACCCTGCCTGCATGCTGGAGCCAAGCTCTCAATGTGAAATCCAATCAATACCTGTGAACGTCACACTGGAATGAAACAAATTCCCTTTGTACTCGTTACAAGCCACGGCTCGCGAAAAAAATAGAGAGAGTCATTACCTGGCGGTGTAGCGGGCGCGGTAGAGGCAGTCGTTCTGAGTGAGGATCTGGTGCCAGTAGTGCGACCGGAACCGCTCGTGCCCCAGCAGCCGCGTCACCGTCACCAGCCCTCGCGCCTCGAACGGCGCTACGGCCTCTGCCAACGACGGCTCTTCTTCTCTCGTGTCTGCTGCTCTCGCTCCCTTCACTTCGCTTGCTCCTGCTGCCGCTGCTGACGATGCTGCGGTGTCTTCTGACGCGGTGGCGTAATCTCCGCTATTAGCCCCGAAATCGTGGAGGAAAAAGTGTTGAATGCCCACGGCGTGCGAGTGGTAGTGTAGCCAATCGGAGACGGCACGGGGCCGCAGATGACCATAAAGGGGGCCGCTACAGTGCGCCAACTGCAGGAGGGGATGCGGAGGGGGAGGGTAACATGTATCAGCAAATGTGACTGAAACTGTTACAATGACACGGGACACGGGGGTGCGGGAATGAGCCTGAGCACTGGGAAGGGGAATCTGAACAAGGACGTTCACACGAAAACGATGGTCGCGAAGCTGAGATTGACGTTAACGACAGCCCTGTACAAGACCCAACAGCATTCGATTGTGACATACCTCGTATATTGGCGGTCTCTTTATAAGCTCAAAGGCGCCCGGCTCCTCGCGAAGCACCTCCATTTTCATCTCTTGTATCACCAACGGAAACTTCTTTACAATCGCCCTCGGTTCCTCTGTGCCGCGTCGCCGGAGCAGCAACGACCCTCCGTTATTGTCACCCCCCACGGGCCGCGCGAACGTGCAGCGAATCATCACCGGCGCCCAGGGTGTGCCGTGATAGTCCTCTTTCCGCAGCTGACGTCAGCGTGACGTGGCGGGAGAGGGAGAGAGAGAGGGGGAGGGAGAGGGAGAGGGAGAGGGAGAGGGAGAGGGAGAGGGAGAGAGGAGGGACATCAGGAGAGAGGCATTGCGGAATTCGGAAACGGCGAGCATGGGTGAAGCCATGGCTACCCAGAGAAACTCCGTGGGAGCGATCGCGCGGGTGACATGTACGGGGGAGAGGAGGTGGCGGGAAGGAAGGGAGGGGGAAGGAGCATACCCATCGAAACAGCGATCGCGCGGGTAACATGTACGGGGGAGAGGAGGTGGGGGAAGGAAGGGAGGGGGAAGGGCATACCCAGAGAAACTCGGCCGCAGTCACCGCGGTCGTTTGAGTCGACTCAAAAGAGAGGAGGTGGGGGAAGGAAGGGAGAGAGAAATGCATACCCAGAGAAACTCCGCCGCAGTCACCGCGCGGTCGCCGGTATCCCCCTCCCACGCGCACTCGTCGACGAGCGCGCGCTTCAGGTGATGCGCCAAGACGGGCGTGAGGTACTCCCCCATTACCACGAAGCTGCTCTCCCCCACGCGGTACGCGCTCGCCACCGCCATCGCTTTCACCGTCAGCGGCACCACGCGGAACTCCCGGTCCGCCGCCCGCATCCCCCCGCGCAGCCCCGCGTCCCCTCCCCCCCTTCCCCCCGGACGCCGCCGCCTATCGTCGCCGTCTGCCAGCTGTCTCTGAATGTCGGCCACTGGGCTACCCGCTGCTTTCCCATTGCCCAGGGCTACTGGGCTGCTCTCCGACCTAGATAACTCCGCATGAGTTCCTAGCGGCGTGGGTAGATCTAAAAGATGCGAGATGGAATCTAAGGAACCTCGCTCTTGCGGCCAATGGACGTCAACGCTGACGCGGACGGACGGCAGGACCGGCCACGTGAGCCAAAAAAGGGTTAGAAAGACTGGCGTGAGGACCAGCGCGCGCCAATGCCACGTGGCGTCCTTCCACGGCTTCGCCATGCCTGTTTTGCGAAACGCTAACGAGCTCCGCGGTAGCCTCGACCAGCGGCGGCCTGGGCTGTGCGAGGCGACCCGGGAAGTGCCGCCCGTGGATTGGAGATATAAGAGACTATAAAGGGGCCATGATTTGAAGTTTACTATGGCATACGAATGTGCAATGGCGTACCAAAATGGTGCAGCGTAGTACGGCTCATGGGTCACACTAACATGGAATCCGTGGTGAGGGTAGCCTGGTATGGACGGAGCGCCTAACTTGACTGGGGACGCAACATCTGCTGACTAAAAGCGCCAGAGTAGATGTGAAGCAACCGGGAACGATTGGAAAGCCGCGAGCAAGGTCCGCTCGAGTCTGGGTACTGTGAATATGGGAGGCCCGTCCTCCCGCAGAACGAGGTCATTCTTGTTCGCAAATTAGGTGGTGGTGGTGGTGGTGTCGCAAGTGCACACGTTTAGCAATTGGACGCGAGCGTCGGCACGACTTGTGGGTGGCAACGAGTGTTGCGTAGAGCATTGATAGGAGAATTGCGGCCTAGGTTTGGGTTGGTTGGATGGGTGAGAGAGCTGGGTTTCGGTTAGGTTGTGTGAGAATTTGCCCCTGGTGATTTGTTTCTGGAAGTTGGAGGTTTGTGGGTTGGAACTGGTGATGAACACTCGCGTATGACTGCTGCCGGTTTCGCCTCGAACCGCGTTTTTCGCGCTTCGGATGGACGTACGCCCAACGAGAATAGAGAATCGTGTACTTCGTAACACTGTGGGGCGAAAACAAGACGAACCAATCCTGTGACAAGCGAGAAGACGCGAGTGTTCTACGAGATGATAGAAACTTGGCGATATGGCTCTCGCAATTCTCGGTTGTCGGGTACATATGGCTTTCGCTTTCCAATATGGCACGACGTGATGTTGTCGTGGTCGTGTTTTCGCGTGAGATGCGGTGAGCCCACACAAGCCAAGCCACGTCAGCCACGGGAGGTTGAAGAATCCTCGTGAGAGGGAAATGCACGTATCTCGGATGAAAGGTATCCGCATATAGAAATTACTACACCATTGAGAAAATCCGGCAATTGTACAAATAACCTTTAAACAAAAGTCAGCATCTCCATTTGGCAGGAAATTCCCTGCAGAAGGAACTGCAGCAATCCACAGCTGAATCCTATTATCTGAGCAACGATATTACAGAACACGTATATGCATGTATTATTCATGCATGAAGAAGGTTTTGTTCAATCTACTGTTATACCACCGTGTGAGTGCATCTCTGGCACTAACTCCTCTCACCTTAGTTCCCAGCCATCTGTCATCCATTAACGCGACACCATGCATACCGTTTGATATCAGAAATATCCCTCTTGTTTGCCGCTCCTTGCTTGCCCTCTCCAAACCCGTGTACACCAACTGCGCCATATTATACATTGCCGTCCGCTCCCCAACCTTGCAGTAATTCGTCTTATATCGAACGTTCCGCCACGTGCCAGACCTGACAAATATCGTAACCGGCATTGGTATATCCAAAAGCTCATTAACGCACTGTACAGTAGCAGTGTAGTTGTAGAAATTGTGGTCGGGAGTGGTGCGGGTCTGCCCTCCAATAGCTGCCGCTACGACGTCGAAGATTGACTGGATGACAAAAATGGGAGTCTTTAGTGCCATTAGGGCTTGCTCGGGGAAGAAACAGGCCCAGTGGCGCGAGGGAGGGAGCCCTGCAGTCACATGATCCCGAGAAGCAGAAGCAGAAGGATGGGTGGGTGGGGGGGAAAGGAAAGGGGAGGGGAGGGGGGGGCGGGGGGGGGGAAGGGGGGTAATTGTCATTAGGGCTTGCTCGGGGAATAGCAGAGATGCTTGTTGCCATCGCGAGCAGAGCAAGGGATGGGGAAGCAAGAGGAAGCAAGGGGAAGCAAGGGGAAGGAGGTGCATGAGGGAAGGGACGAAAAACTGACTTTTACGGCAGGCGGGGTTGCTGAGTTGCTGAGTCAGCGAGATGCTTTTAGCCAGCCGCTCCCACAGGCGCGTGCCGTTGCGGTCTATGGAGTCTGCAGGAGGTGAGGATAGAACAGAGAGGGGTTGAGAGGAGTGGAGGTGGGTTCGAGCAGAGTCATAAGTTTTTAAGTGGACTGAAGAGCCGCGTCCCGTTGCGGTCTATGGAGTATGGAGCTGTGGAGAGGATTTGAGGTGAGGTTGAGAGGAGTGGAGGTGGGATTAAGCCGAGTTCAGGGTAAGTTGGAATAGACTCAAGGGGCGTGGTTTGTTGCGATCTATTGAGTCTGCAGGTGTGCACAGAATTCTCCCTGTTTTTTGTTCCTCATTTTTTAGACAACAAACATGTATGTGTATATGTAATTATCTACATAGATGTGTTCTGTATTTTGTGGGGCAAAGACCTTGAGAGCTGTATGTGGCAAATAGCTTACTGACAAAATAGCCCGAGTCTGCAACGCAGCGGGTGGAGGCGGAGGGGAAGGCGGCAGCGACGCGGTCGCAGAGGTATATCACCGCCTGGCCACCTGCTGAGCTGCCAGAGACCAGTACCTCCGTGGGCAGCGCAAAGCCCCGCTTCGCCTTCAGGTCTGCAGTAAGAGGAGGGAGGGGGAGGGGCGGATGGGGTGGGGTGGCGGGGCAGGGGGACGGATGGGGCGGGTAAGGGGAGGAATGAGTGGGGGATGGGGGTAGCAAAGCAGTGAGTGGACGTTGGAGAATTCTGCCTCGTCTTGAGGGTGGGGGTACCGCGAGAGTGAGGGGAGAGGGAAGGAGAAAACGGGGTGAGAGGGAAATGAGAGGGGTGTGAGGGAAATGAGAGGGGTGTGAGGGGCGAGGGCGAGTGGTTGTGAGGGGAATGAGAGTGGAATATGAGGGGAAAGAGAGAGAGGAGGCTTGGCAAGGAGGGAAAATAAGGGGGAGGAAGCAACCATTTACTTTGGGATTGACTTCCCTATGGCGAGGGAGGGGAGAGAGTGAGGAAGAATGAGCGAGGGAGGGAGGAAGAGTGGTGAGGAAGAGCTGGGGGGGGGAGAGGGGGGGGGTTTGGGGGGAAGTGGAGAGGGGAGGAGAGGGGGTGAAGGGAGGGAGGAAGAGAGAAACTCTCAGGAGAACTGCTTTTGAGGCGACTAGAAAATAACTCGCAAATATATCTCGCAAAAGAGCGCACCATCAATGATGGAGCGAACGATGTCCCACCCATCCATGTAAAGCAGCACAATCTTCTGCTTCCCCCCCACCAAACCTCCCGGCTTTCCCCCAACCGCTCCCCCCGTTCCCCCGCTTCCCCCGCCCCCCACCGCCCCCCCGCCCCCTGCGGCTCCCCCCGATCCCCCTGGTCCAGGCTTCATTCCCGCCAGCACCCTCCCCTGCCTCCCCGCCTTTCCGCCCCCCTGCGCCCCCCCAACAGGCGCGCTCGGGACGGTGACGTTGATGCGCCCGCGCTGCCCCGCGAAGCCCCCGCCGTCGCAGTAGTTGATGCGCGCGAGCGGCCAGTCCGCGAATAGCGGGTTCACGTCCGGATCGTCGTTCAAAATCCCGCCCATGGGGACGGACTGGGGGGACGGGGGGAAGGAAAGGGGAGGGGGAGGGAGGGGAGGGGGGCGCCGGGGGAACGATGAGGGAAGGGATAAAGGGTAAAGGGTAAAGAGGGGATGGGCGCGAGTGGAAATTGTCGAGGAGGGGTAGGCGATCTTGCGAGAGTAGGGAAAAGGGGAACACGAGAGGCGCAACTGACAACAGGAAGGTCAAGGTCAAGGTTAGAGCACTCTTGCGCGTTGAAGGCGAGAGGAAGGGGCAACGAGGGGATAGGGGGAGGGGGGAGAGGGGGGGAGGGGGGGGAGAAGCGCAACTCATATCGGGGACGAGAGGAGAGTGGGAGAGGGGAGAGGGGAAAAGAGAGAGGGGCGGAAGCACGAACTCACGTCCGGGATGATGGTGGGCCAACCCTCGCTGGAACCCAGGAAGGTCAAGGAGCGATTGAGACACTCTTGCGCGTTGAAGCACCACCCGCCCGCCGGCAGGTGGATGTGAATCCGAATCGCCGGGTCGCCTCCCGGCGTTTGCGCTGGCTGCCACGTGGCGCGATTCGCCGCGCCGGCCGCCGGCGCCGACGATCCCCATTGGTTCGGGTTTCCCGCGGCAATCCCGCTGCTTCTGCTGGCGAACCACCGCCGATTGGCGGACTGGCCGCTGTTCGCCACGTGGCCTCCTGCTACTGGAGAAGCGGCCGCGCGCGGGGAGGTTCGCTTTACGGGCGGTGTAGGGGAGGCGCCTGGGCGGAAGTAATACGAAGGGTCGCTACGGACGTGGGAAGGGGAGGGGCAACGGGGGAGCGGGAAAGGGGGAGGGGGGGAACGGAAAGCGGAGAGGCGGGAGCGGGAAGAGGGGAGGAAGGAGGAGGGCGGGTGAATAAACAGGGAGGGAGAAGGTAGGGTGTCGGGGGCGAAAGGAGCAGGCAAAGCGGTATGCGAAGGGGGGGAGCGGGGAGCGGGGAGGGGGGAGGAAGTGTGAAGGTAACGGGAGTCGACGGGGCGAAAGGAATAGGCAAAACGAAGAAAGAGGCAAAACGGTACGCGAAGGTATGCGGTTCAACAAGACTACTTCATTCTCTTATGGGTCAGCAAAGCAGAAGCATCGACCTATCAGGGAGTGCCATGTGGTACCTGCCGTCGAGACATCTGGCGCCCAGCGCGTTATTCGGCAGGGTGACGAGCCGCATGGTTCGCAACATGCACTCGCCGCCGGGAATCCCGCCCCCCGCTACTAGCACCAGCAACACCGCAATGGTTACTAACGATGGCGCTCGCGACATTCGCGACGCTCTTGACGATCGTGGCATAATGGCAGGCTGCGAACGGCAGAGGCGAAATAGGCGCGTGTTATTCGAAATTTGTTCGCTATGGCACATGTGATCGAGCAGCGACGGCCTCGCCTATTCAAGGCGTCTTAAGTCCCGCCAGGCGATGTCGCATAATACTACAGGTGCTGCACTTGCGATATGGTTACGGACTATACTCCCATCGCCTAGCGCTTCACCATATCAGACCCTTCTAGCGGTAGCCACACGCGGATAGACTTCATATTTCTTCCTGATATAAGAATAATCAACTTAACCATCACTAGCTTGGAGCTGAACCATTACAGCCCAAAACCTGAATTACTGAACAGTCGTCCTGCTAGTTCCATTGACAACTAAAATTGACTGGAGAGAACGAATGATGCATCCGCGACACGCGTAGCACAGCGGAAACAAGGCTCGTCCGCCGCAGCAGTCAGTCGGTAGGGTACGGTACGGTACGGTACAGAACTGTTTGACCACTGCAGCAGACAGCAACTTTATAGACCAGAGCACTGTGTCGAATTACAGGGAGGAACGGGACGGGATGAAGGGCAAGCAGAGATAAGAGCAAGTTCCATGGATGGTAGGACGAGAGACTATGGAGGCTGAACGCGCAGGGTTGACTGAGGGGTTGAGAGAGATGACAAGCACATGTGCTTCACGCCTGCATTACCAGTGCTCGGGCATGGTTGTCGTTAGGTATCGCACAGTCGCATTGTCGGTGAGTGTACACCCTCTGGTGCACCTACTTTTGTTGGATGGGATGTGAAAGATAAGCGCAGGAGTAGTGAGGTTGTTGCTGGTGAAGAGGGATCCAAAGCGTTGATGAACGGTATCAGCCGTCAATGTTTGCAGGTGGAGGGGCCAATTCTGGAAACATGTTTCGGGTCGGGAATGGCCGAATTTGCGCGGATAGGGGATGGATGGTGGGAGGGCGGGGGAAGTGGGCGGAAAGGGGTAGGGGAGGGTGATTTGGGGAAGTGAAGGGGTAGGGCGGGGAAAGTGAAGGGAAGAAAAGACGCAGTGGCAGCGGGTGAAAGCGGTGCTCGTTTGAACACAGCTGTGGGGGCGGTAGAAAACGGGGAAAAACAGGTGGCGCGGAAATTGTGCGACGGAAGTGGGGAGATGGGGAAGGCGCTGGAGATGGTTCTGAACCAATCACAGCGGGTCGCGGCTTGGTTTCATTGCGAGACTTGGTGGTCACTGGTCAGGTCAACTTTACCGCCGCCGGAATACTAAGCGCGCCTACATGAAGCTGTAGCGAGGGGAAGGACTTGGAGGCACTGTAACGCAACAGACCGACAACGTCTTCGTGAGTTTGCCAATATACAGCACCACTGTTATGAGTTGTGAAAGGAAAGAGTGCGCAGAACTCAATAATGCGGAAGTGATTACAACGTATGAATGAACAACGAGGCCTAGGCATAATATAGCAAGGCTAGCTAGGCCGAGGTCGCGGGGTCGCGAGATGGTTGGGGGCAGGTTCGGGGTTGGGAAACCCGAAGGCGACGCGGTGGTGGCTCGGAAGGTGAGGTCGGCGGACCGAGCCTGGTGTTCCGAAAGTCGGGGTTGTACGCGTACAGTGTGACCCAGTAAGGAATCCGGAAAATTCCTTACACTACCTCCCCCCTTAAGAAAGGTGGTGAATATCCGAGACACCTCGGCGAGCCAGGTAAGCATCCACAACCGGATGTCCCAGTAGCGAATCAGCGGCGACATACGTGTCGTCCGCGCTCGTGCGCTCCTTCCAGCGAAGCAGGAATTTCACTGAGCGGCCGGCAGCAGCCACGTCCACGCGATGGTTGAGAATCTTCCAAGGTTCCAGCGTGGGCTCCGCCACGGGGCGAGTGGTCGGCGCGATGGTTGGCCGAGCAACAGCTGGCGACTGCGGCTGTTCGTAATGACGCAACAGGCTGACGTGGAAGGCGTCATGTATTTTCCAATCGTCGGGCAGCAGCAGCTTCGCGGTGACAGGTGTCACCATCTGGATGATCCGAAATGGTCCCACGTATCGGGGCCGTAATTTCGCGGGCTGCGGCAGCCGAAGGTTCTTGGTGTCCAGAAGTACAACCTGCCCTGGGCGGAAGGGTAAATTCCGTCGGTGAACATTGGCCTTGCGAATGAATTCGGCTGCTTTCGTTCGAGCGGTTTGCAGTTCCGTGACAAACTGCTGCGATCTTGGTACCGGGTTGTCCACAGTCGTTGAAGAGGGTACCACGGGGTCTATCCCGTAATTCAGGAAGAAGGGTGATTGTTTAGTCGTGGCCGATGGGGCGTTGTTGTACGCGAATTCCAGCATCGGCAGCGAATCTTCCCACTTGCGAATGTCGGGGCAGTTGGTACGAATCAGCTGCTCCATGGTCTGATTAGTCCGTTCCGTCTGTCCGTCGGTCTGCGGGTGGTATGACGACGAAAACTGCAGGCGGGTGCCGTACTGTGCCCACGTTTCCTGCCAGAACTTCGACGTAAATTTCGGATCACGATCGCTGATGATCGCCGAAGGTAACCCGTGTAGGCGTACGACGGTGGAGATGAATAGTTTGGCTGTATCTTCGGTTGTGATCGTCGTGCGGCATGGGGCGAAATGCGCCATTTTCGTTAGGCGATCGACGACGACCAACACCGAGTCGTTGCCACTTGTGCCAGCTGGGAGCCCCGTGACGAAATCCATCGTCACCTGTTGCCACGGTCGTTCGGGTGGCGCGAGGGGTTGCAGCAGTCCGGCTGGCCTTTGTCGCGACGACTTCATTGCTTGGCAGGTCGGGCAAGTTGACACGTAGCGTTGCACATCGGTCTGCATGTCCGGCCAGTAATAATTCCGCTGCAGCAGCTTCAGTGTTTTGTCGGTGCCGAAATGCCCGGAGAGGTTGGAGTCGTGAACCTCCTGCGTCAGCAGCTCCCGTAAAGGCTGGTATGCTGGTACCCAAATCCGGTTCGTACCGGTTTTTAGGTAGTATTTACCGTGCAGTGTAGCAGCATGTTGTTGCGGGTTCCGAAAAAACCTGTCGATCTTGTAGCCGTGGGTGAATAGTCCTGTCAGCATCGGGTTGGTGTGGGCGATTAGTACCGCCGCGTTCTGCATGGATGGTCGGGTAAGGGCGTCGGCGATGTTGTTGGCGCCCTTTTTGTACGTGATGGTGTACCGGAAATTGGACTCGAGGAAGTCCAACCACCGAATTTGTTGCGGGTTGAGTGTCGGTTGCGTGCGCATGTACTGTAGCGATTTGTGGTCGGTCCGAATTGTCACGTCGGCTCCCGTGAGGTAGCAGCGCCAGACGCGAAATGCATGAACGATGGCCAGCATTTCTTTGTCGTGGACTGGGTAGTTGCGCTCGGGTGGCTGCATTTTGCGTGACTCGTGGGCTATGGGTTGCAGCCCTTGGCCGAAGTCCTGTAGCAGGACGGCGCCGACGGCGAAATCGCTGGCGTCCGTGACGACTTCGAACGGTCGAGATGGGTCGGCGAGGCGGAGTACCGGGGGTGAACCCAAAATGTTTTTGAGGGCGTCGAAGGCGGACTGCTCCCTCTCCCCCCACCGAAAATCACTGTCGTGATGCAGCAGGTCGGTCAGCGGCTTGGTTATCCCTGGCATATTAGGTACAAAACGACGAACGTAGTTAACAAACCCCAGAAAACTCTGCAACTCAGGGATATTAGTAGGCGGCTTCCACTTAACGATGGCGTCCACTTTACGCGGGTCGATTTTGATCCCTTCACCAGAAACCACATGCCCCAAAAATTCTAATTCCGGCTTCAGGAACTCGCACTTAGACCCCTTCGTAATTAGCCGATGCCCCTGTAAACGCCTGAACACCTCCTCTAAATCCCGCAGATGGTCCTCTTTTGTCGCGCTGTACACCAGGATGTCGTCCAGATACACGATTACCTTCTTGTCCAGCATGTCTCGAAAGATTCCGTTCATGGTGAGCTGGAACGTCGAGGGCGCGTTTATCAGACCGAACGGCATCACCGTGAACCCGTAACTGCCGTAGCGTGTGCGAAAAGCTGTCTTCGGGCAGTCGTCAGCGAACACGCGAATTTGGTGGTAGCCTCCTCGCAGGTCTATTTTCGAGAAGTATCGAGCTCCGCGAAGTTGATCCAGCAGATCGTCAGTTCGCGGGATCGGGTAACGCGACTTTATCGTGACCCGATTCAGCGCCCGATAATCAATGCACATGCGTAGGCCGCCGTCCTTCTTCGGTGTGAACAGTATCGGCGCTGCATACGGCGACGTGCTTGGCCGGATAAATCCTTTGGCGAGCAGATAATCCAGCTGGGCCCGCAACTCGACGAGCTCTGGTTGGCTGAGCCGCCACTGTGACCGAACAGTAGGTTGCGCTCCTGGTTCCAGCTGGATCCGATGATCCTCAGGCCGTTGGGGGGGCAAGCCATTCGGGAGGTCATCCGCGAAAATTTCGGGATACTTCCGAATAATGCTCGCCAATTCCTCGGGGACTGCCGCGCAAAGGGTGTCGATGTCCGCGATTTTCTCGGAAGCTGCCACCTCGTACAGGTGCACCAAGAAGGCTTGAGCTCCGCTGTTCATCGCACGCTGCATGTTGACCGCGTTGACACGTGTCGTCACCGGCTCCGGCTCCGTCCATTTCGGAAGCGCCGTCTTCCCTCCGTACCCTCGCACGACGCACGCCCCAGTCGTCCAGTCGATCGTCGGATTGAATCGCTGCAGCCAATCCCTCCCCAGCAGCACATCACATCCGTCCAACGTCGTCGCCAACATTCTCATGCCAAACCCGAATTTGTCGCCGCACTGTATCCGAATTTTTCGCGCCTCATCTCGGATGGCCAGCGGTGTCCCGTCCACCAACCTAGCATCGATCTCCGGCAGACACCTGGTCAGCTTCACCCCAATTTTTTTGGCCGTTGCCAGGTTGACGAGACTGTGGCTCGCCCCACCGTCAACGAAGATTTTTATTTTATGACCGTTAACCCTCCCCACTACCAGCACAGGGTAGTCCACGTGTTCACCCACGTTATTCGTCCGGTTCTGGTCGATAGCTCTGATCGGTACCACGACCCGGTGTGGATGGTGATTGTCGGGCGACAGGGTCTCGTCAGTAGGTGGCCCTTCTGCTACTGACTCGTATCTTTTCCCGACCCTTCTCCGTCGTTCTTCTTCCCCTGCTTAAGCCTCGGGCAGTCTTTCTTCAGGTGGCCCAGCTGGTTGCATAAAAAGCACGGCCCAAGGGCTCGGCTAGGTGCATCCACGCCGTTGATCGTGGGCTGCTGAGTCGGTCCACGAAATCGAGGGCCCTCCCGGGAGCTCGATCTCGCCCACTGCATCAGCGCATCCGTTGACTCGGCTTCCCGGACGGCGTCGTTGAAGCTGCGTGGCCGGGTTCGTCGGACCTCGTACTGTATCTCATATTTCAGGCCCGCCACGTAGCGATCCAACCGCTCCGCATCGCTCATGTCGTCCACCTGGTCCGCCAAGTTGCAGAATTTGCTGGTGTAGTCTTGGACTGAAGTCAGCTGCTTCCAGGTACGCAGCTGCATGCGAGCAGAGTCCGAGGCAGATATGTGTTCGAATCTGGTTCGCAAGGCGGCGCCCCACTCCTTCCATGTGCGTATCGTGGCCGTCCCAAAAATCGATGCTGCCTGATGCGTGACAGGTGTTGAAGTCCCGTCGTTCGCACGTGCTATTCCTGCCGAAGTCCCTTCGTGCTGCAGCGTTCGCCTCCACCACTCCAGCGCAGGTCCTCGCAACAGTGAAACTGCGAAATTAATGCGGGTGGCATCGTCATAAATCATGGCAGCATTAAAGAACACCTCCACACCGAACAACCATGCAGAAACAGTGACAAATTTGTCACTCGGGTTAAACGGGGGCGGGTTTGTCGGCTTGATTTTCACAAAAGCCGTTGCTGCCATCGGGGCCGTTGGCATTGCTGCTGGCGTCGCCGTCGTCGTCGCTGCTGCACGTGGCGGTACTGCACGCGACTGTTGTGGTGACTGTTCCTGCTGCGCCTGCCTTGCCTCGTCCGCATCCATCTCGCCTTCCAGCTCGCTCCAGACTCGCTCATCTGGTGTAGTGCTGCTACTTGCGTCGTCCACGACAGGCGACTCCTGGCGCGCTTCACCACGCGCCTGGTGTAGTTCGGCGTTTTCCTTCCGTAGACGCTCCATCTCTGCAGTCATACCCTGCAAGTTGGCCTGCATCGCACGGAACTGTTGCATGAACTCGTTAAACTCGGCCTGCTCCATGTGCCTCAGGCTTCGTCGAACGGGCAGGGGGTGGCTCGCGATTTTTCTGACTTCGGTGAAGGCGTTAATGCTATCGTAGTCGGAGTGGAATAATCAGATCTATTCCACGGGCCGACCGCTTAACAGCCCACCAAGTCTATCGCTCCCCTTCTACAAACTACCCCGGAAACGCGAGGGTAACCTAGGACTTTAGGCTCTGATACCAAGTGTTCTGAGTTGTGAAAGGAAAGAGTGCGCAGAACTCAATAATGCGGAAGTGATTACAACGTCTGAATGAACAACGAGGCCTAGGCATAATATAGCAAGGCTAGCTAGGCCGAGGTCGCGGGGTCGCGAGATGGTTGGGTGCAGGTTCGGGGTTGGGAAACCCGAAGGCGACGCGGTGGTGGCTCGGAAGGTGAGGTCGGCGGACCGAGCCTGGTGTTCCGAAAGTCGGGGTTGTACGCGTACAGTGTGACCCAGTAAGGAATCCGGAAAATTCCTTACAACCACCACCAACGGTGGCAAATATAAAACGTGTTCACATTATTATACCTCCCAGCACTACAGTAGTGAACCAATGCTTCTTGCAAAAGAGCAAACAGATCACAAGGATGAGAAGAATCATGGAATCACCTTCTATTATGAGAAGTACCAGTTAGCAACAGCATCCCTCATTGTAACCCCATTAACGACACTACTCGTCCAGAGTTCAGATGTGATTACCGCATGCTCATACTCCGCAGGCAAGAACGTGCCGAAGCTCTTTCGTCTAAGCATCTTCGTGAACCTCGCAACATTATTCGCCACCGTTAATATCGCCACTAACTCATCCGGCTTGCAGAATGACGTCGGCCCTTCGGTTGAATTCACTCCAGCTTGCAAAATGGATGCAGCCTCGCTTGCGGCACCTACCCCTTGTGTCATCAGCACATTGTCTGATGCTGCTCCGCTTGCTGCCACTACAGGTGCTTCTCGAGCATTCGCTTCCGCCCATACGGAGTACGAAGTGTATCCATCTTCCTCAATCTGCTTCCAACCCCGTAACAACCTCTCATCATTCCCCCCCTCAGCAGCCACTGCTAGGTCAAACGCTTGGCGAGACATCCCCGGATTCTTCCTTTTTTCCGGGAGGACGGGCAGGGAGAGGAGCGAGTGCAGGCAGTTTAATACGTAACCGTAGTCCTCGGGCAGCTGGTTACCGCGCACGAGGGCGCGAAAATCAAAGAGTGGTTGCACGATGAAGACCGGGCGGCGCGTGACAAAGGCGAGCGCGTACTGCGGGAAGAAGCAGCGCCACTTCTTGGCGGGGGGTTGTGCTGGGGGGAGGGAAAGGGGGGTGATGGGGTGAGTCAGAAGACAGTGAGGGACGGGGTGAGTTGGAGGAGCGGCAAACGGAGTCGCAAAGGCGAGCGCGTACTGCGGGAAGAAGCAGCGCCAGCGCATGGCAGGGGGTTGCGCTGGGGAATGGGGGAGAAGTGGGGGGAGAGGGGAGCGATGGGGTGAGTTCAAGGAGCGGCAAACTTAAACCCCATGGTCTGGTTTTTGAAAGTCTGGTCGATACAGTGACAAGTCATCTGGTGCCAGACCAACTCCTCCAAGAACCAATGTGTTGCGAAACATTTGCACATATTTGAGCACTGACAAGAAGATCCGCACAGTGTGCATCGAGAGGGAAGGATTGCCCGATGCATTTCTAGGGTGAATTACCCTTTGCGCATTTGGGGTTGCCCACAGACTCGTGAAGCTCAGCCATGTTCTTCACCATGTGCTGGAAATAGGGGTAGCCGTTTCGATCGAATGAGTCTGATGGATGGGGGAACGGGGGGAAAAGAGGGATGGGGAGTGGGGATCGGGGGTAGTTGGGAAGAGGGGATACGAAGCCATGAGTCGAAGCACGGACTCGTGAAGCTCAGCCATGTTCTTCACCATGTGCTGGAAATAGGGGTAGCTGTTTCGATCCAACGAGTCTGTTGCATGGGGGAATGAGGAATGGGGAATGGGTAAGGGGAGAGTCAGGGGGATGCAAAAGCACCAGCCGAAGGCGTTTAGACTCGTGAAGCTCAGGCATGTTCTTCACCATGTGCTGGAAATAGGGGTAGCCAGCTCGACCCTGCGAGTCTGTTGCATGGGGGAGCAACGGAATGGAGGAGTGCAGGAATGGGGGGAAGGGGGAATTCGGGAAAAGGGAATGGGGATGGGGAACGGGGGATGGGGAGTGGGGAGGGGAATGGGGAGGGGAATGGGGAGGGGAATGGGGAATGGGGAATGGGGAATGGGGAATGGGGGAAGGGGGAAGGGGAGGGTCATGGAGGTGCGAAACCATCAGTCGAACGATGTGATGATAATCGGGGAGATGGGACAGATTCCACTTTAGTCAACGGCAGTCAACGCCAGTCAGCACTTACCAGTGAAGAAGGTGGAGTCGAGCAGGCACTTGACAGCAGACGGGTGGGGTGGGCGACAGAGGCAACTATCTTACCAAGTGCACCAACCCGTGAAGAAGGCTGAGTCAAGTCAACGCCAGTCAACGTAAGTCAACCGCAGTCAACGCCAGTCAACGTAAGTCAACCGCAGTCAACGCCAGTCAGCACTCACCAGTGAAGCAGGTGGAGTCGAGCAGGCACTTGACAACAGACGGGTGGGCGACTGAGTTGGCCAAACTTCAAGAGCCCTACCAGAAAAGAGGGAGAGTCAACGCCAGTCAACGCCAGTCAACGCCAGTCAACAGCAGACCCACCAGTGAAGAAGGCGGAATCCAGCAGGCATTTGACCGCAGAGGTGCGGGCGACTGAGTTAGCAAGGAGGCCACAGAAGGTGGCCACCGCTTGCCCCCCCGCTGACGCCCCTGAGAGCAGCAGCGAGGTGGCGGAATGGAGCCCCCGGTTGGTGAGGAGGTCTGATGAATGGGAGGGTGGGGATGAAGGGAGGGAGCTTGAACACAGAGGGAGGTGACTTGTGAGTTGGCAAGGAGGCCACACAAGGTGACAATAGCTTGCCCCCCCGCTGATGCCCCCGAGAGTAGCAGCGAGGTGGCTGAATGGAGCCCTCGGTTGGTGAGGAGGTCTGCGGGGAGGGCAGGGGGAGAAACGTGGAGAAATATTTTTTTTACATTGACTGGAAACCCGACTGCTGCTGATGCCCATGAGAGCAGCAGCGAACGCACAGAGCAGGTTTCGGTGGGTGAGGAGGTGTGGAAGGAGGAAAGGCGCGGAGGGAGGAAGGAGGAGAATTTGGTAACAGTGAGGCAGGCAGGCAGGAATTTGCTTGAGGCAGAAGGGAATCGCGGACAGGGACAGATAAGAGTATAAGCGGAGAGGCTGGGTGCAGAGGGAACGTGTGGGGGGGTGGGGGGTTTGGGTGGGGCGTGTGGAAGCTTCTAGAATACAACAATCACTGCGTACCCACCCACCCACCCAACCACTCGCCCCGCCAACCCGTCCACCCACCCATCCACCCACCCATCCATCCAACCATCCACCCACCCACCCACCCACCCACCCATCCACCCACCTTCCCATCCCCACCTTCCCACCCACCATTCAGCACGGCTTTCATGATCTTCCATCCTTCCAAATAAAGCGTAACGTTGCGACCATGCACCCTCACCGGCCCTCGCCTGCCCGAGAACCCCCCTCCGTCACAGTAGGTGGGCACGACCACGTTCCAGTTGTAGAAACGCGGATTCACGCTCTTCCTGCTGCTCAAGATGCCCTGGTAGCCCCACCGCGCCTGAGGTGAGTGGTCAACGCGGAGGACGAGAGGCGTGGCGGCATTTCACACAGAAGTGTGCAAGGAGGGGTGAGAGAGGGAGAGGCAAGAAACAGACACGAGCTGAGTTTTTTACGACCATGTGTACGGTCCTGATTTAAGCTCCGAGATTTCTACGGCTCATATTTAAAAGCAGAGATTTCTACGGATGTGAGCGATGGAGTCAAGAAACGCTTGGAACGGTGACTCAAAATGAGGAGATGGGGGCAAGAGAAGAGGTGCCAGTGCTACCCTCCCTCCCCATCCCCCTTCCCCGTTCGCCCTCCCTCCCCCTCCCACTTCCTCCTTCCCCCTCCCTCACCCTCCCCTTACCTCCTTCCCCTTCCCACCCCACTCCCCCTTTCCTTCCCATTTTCCCCTATCCCCCATGTGCCTCCTCGCTCACATGGCGGTACGGGTTCTCTTCCTGCAGATCATCACGCTTTTCCCTTCCCCTACCCCCTTCCACGCCAAGGCCCCCCCAACCCCTCTCTTTCCCCCACCCCCCTTTCCCCCCTTCCCTGCTCACATGGCGGTACGGGTTCTCTTGCTGCAGGTCGGCTCGTGACGACCCCAGGAAAGTCTTGGCGCGATCAGAGCAGCTGCTGAGATTGAAGCACCATCCGCCCATGGGCAGGTGCACGTGCCACGCGTCCGCGCCCTCCCCCGAACCCGGGCGGAAGTAGTACCCAGGGGGGCTGTGGGGGGTGGCAGGGGGCGGGGGGGGGGGGGGGGGGGAGGTCGGGGGGGAGAGCGGAGGGCAGGGGGAACCGGTGGAAAAGGGGGACGGAAGGGGAAAGAGGGAGAGGAGGGGGAGCAGGTGGGAAAGGGAGGCGGAAAGGTCTCAGCGCGATCAGCGCACTGCGGTTGAAGCACCATCCCCCCATGGGCAGGTGCACGTGCCACGCGTCCGCGCCCTCCCCCGAACCCGGGCGGAAGTAGTACCCAGGGGGGCTGTGGGGGGGGGAAGGGGGGGGAAGGCGGTGTGGTGGGGGAAGAGGGGAAGGGCGGGGGGAAGAGAGGGAGAAAGGGGAAGGGGAAGGTGGGGAAAGCCGAGCTATTAATCAGCGCCCTCCCCCCATGATGCACAAGGGAGCGGGGGGCGGCTGAGGGTGAGCGACTGATGTAGAGGAAGAATAGAGGTAGGAGATTTACACGGGTCACCATGACACGGGTGACCATGGATCAATCGCACTGTGCAGCTGATATCACGATCAGGATGAGCGACTTTTAAGTCGACTCAGAAGAGCGACTGATGATGGACCTGTCCGCGCGCACCTGCCGTCCAGGCAACGCGCGCCGAGCGTCAGCTCCGGCTGCCACGAATCGCTGGGCTGCTGCCACGTGGCGGTTCCCCCAGCCGCACCGTTTCTGCCGCCAGGTGTGCGCCTCGCGGGGAGAGTCGGCGGAACCTTTGGCGAAGGTGTTCGTGGAGTGGTTACCACTGCGGCTGCCCCTGCGGAGCCTCGATAGTGGCAGCTGCCCGTTAGAAGCAGTGCGATTATACACGACGCCGCCATGCGTCGATACGATGAGAATACACCCGACGCCATGCGACGATGCGACGTGCGTGACGTCAGGAGTTTGCGATGTTCCGACAGTAACTGGCGGGATTCTCAACGGTCATCAATTCGATTGGAGATCGAGAATTTTAGGATTAAAAGCTGCTGACTCCGCCGATCGCGACGTGTAGGAACGGGCTGCCCGGAAAAGGGATGTACTAGACGTGACACGTCAGATGCTGTAGGACACTACAAGGCGGCGCGACGATCACGGCTCTTCCTTGCTGAGAGCGCCATGCCGAACACAGCGCATGGCCCTAATCTGCTCCAACGATCGGGTTACACGCTCCGACTTCACTCATCCGCGCTGCCTCCCTGTTCTAAGGCGATCACGTCCGTCGCGTCTTTGGTCAAATTTAATCACAGCCGCTGTAGGTCGTTCGGGATGAAAAATGCGATTTCCAGCCTGGCACACAACACGAGCCTTCTTCAGTCGCACTAGACCCCACTGGTCTGGTCAGGAACGGTCTACTTGGATAACTAATCTCTAAAATGCAAAATGGCAAGTGGAGGGAGTATCGATGTAGAGTTGCTTCCGCCCGCGGCCCGCACCACCCACCCCACCACCGACTTGGGGTGGCGCTGCTTTTGCGTGAACGGCGGTTGGTTCTGATGTGGTCGGCTGGGATTGTGAGGATGCCACAGCGGGTTTCTGTGAGGTTAGGGCAGGGCAGGGATACGCGGTTCGTGGTTAGTGTTGGGGAACAACAGTGGGCGATTGACTGGCTGGGGGTGCGCACTAATAAAACTAATAAATTCAGACAGAGTCCAGACAGGGTCCGATGGTTAGATGGCAAATTGTCAGTTATATTCAGCCAATTTTCGCATTCATTTTTTTTCCAGTATAGAACTTAGCAAAAGAAATATGCAAGACATGACGAAGGAATATGTTAAAACCAGGGTGCACATTCAACGCGGTTCGGCTTGAGATGTTGGGAAGGGGGTTTGGAGAAAAACAGTGATTGGCTCACGAGGGGCGACAAAAAAATGATTCCGCTAGAGCTTCGGGCATTTCGTAGGTGGCGGGAGGGGGTGAAATGGCGGGAGTGGGTGAAACTGAATGGCGGGAGGGATGAAACAGATTGGCGGGAGGGGGGGGGGAAACGAAATCGCGGGGGAGGGGGGAAACAAAATTGCGGGGGAGGGGGGAAACGAATTTCGACGGGGAGGGGGAAATGAAATTGCGGGGGCGTGGGGAAACGAAATTGCGGGGGAGGGGGGAAACGAATTTCGACTTGAAGGGGTTGAAAGCACACCTCGTAACCCACTCAGTCAAGGGATAACCTTTGATGCACATTCAGCTGAATGTGCACCCCGGTTTTAAAGCCGTTGGCCCAAATTGCACAAGTTTTTAAAACTTGGCCCAGGAGAACAACGGGTGGCGAGGGGTGTGAAAGTGAAAGTTGGGAGCCGAAAGAAGGCACACCCAGTAAGCGAAATCGAGAATTGTTTAGCGAACAGCCGAGTCAAACAATAGAAAACCAGCCAATAGAAATTGTCGCACGGCGCACCACACACCGCGACCAAAAAACACACAACACAACACTTCCGCAGCTCTTGCGCTGCCACACACACAACACCATGACGTAGGCTTTCGACAACCAACCATGATGAGGCCCGCTAGTACTTGATACTGCATACAGCAGCCAACTACAGTAGGCGGCACGAGCAAGCACACTTGCGTCGCGGATGATAAAACTGCCAAATCCTTAGCATTACGACAGCCATAAAGGTTGCAGTTGAGATAAAAAACGTCACACGACCGTCATCAACAAACAGAACCACTTCATTCGAGACGGCGAGATAGGGAATATGGCCCGTCGCCCTGGAAAGGATGCTTCCCGAAGGTACGAAAAAGCCGTAGACACGGCACGAACGTCGGCGCATTCTGAAAGCATCGGAATGCGGCGGAATATCAAACACTGAATGCCAGCGCGGATAACGTCATATGGCACTACGTGGGAAACCTCACTTTCGCTCAGTAAATAGCGACGCCACTTGACCATCTTCAATGCACCCACCTTCGCCATCGCATGGAGAATGAGGCATGGGCATGGGGGCATGAGAGACATGCATGGGCGAGCCCGTGAAAGTCGTGATGCACGCATTCACATAAACCTTAGCTTGTAGGTGCAAGCGCTTCGTTGGGTTTCTCACCGCCCCCCTTTCAATAGAACCACTCTCATCCTCTAACTTGACCTCATGAAAGCAGCAGTGACGAAATAACTTGGCGCACAACACACAGAACACACCCGGTGCAGACTCAAGCCAACTCTTGAGACGCATCCCAAGATCTCTATGCCTCCCACCAACCGCACCTCATGGAACCAGGTGTGGCAGAAGAAGTCAGCGCACAACAAACAGAGAAGGGGGAGGAGGTGGAAGGGGATAGAGTTAAAGAACGGAGGGAGGGGAGAATGGAAAGGTGAGATGAGAGCATAGAATAGAAGTCTGAGCAAATGGGGTTGAGCAGCGGGACACAGCCGAAGGGCAAACGGTGAGGAGAGGGGAGCGGGGGTTGGTGTATGGGTGGCACCATAATATCTCACACTGTCATTTCACCTGACAGGTGGAGACCACCTGAGGTCAGGCTGTCAACTGAAAGTATCTTCTCCCCGTATAGTTCCTCCTCTGCTGCCCACAGCATCCACAGACAAAACAGGACACATGCACCAATGCAGGAGAGAGGAGAGGACGAGGGGGTAAGAAGGGGGGCAGTAGGGGTAAGACCATCTGAGGAACAACACAGGCACAACAGGGTGGCCAGGGTAAGTAGTCCCCCTGTTAGATAGTCAGGAAGCTTCACAAAAGAGGGTGGGTATGTGTCCCAGCCCAGCAGCAGTGTGGTGCAGCTCTCACCTGTGCCTCCTAGAACTCCACTTCATCATCCCACTCCTTGTCCTCCTCCTCCAACTCTTCCTCCTTCTCCCACCCTTCCCCTTACCCCTCACCTCCCTCACTCTCACTCCCTTGTGTCATCCTTCCCTCCTCCCCTCCCTCCTTGCTTCCATACCACCCGCTGTCATTCCCTCCCTCTTGCCATGAGCTTCAGGTTCGGAGGCAGGTCTGGGAACAGGCTCGGCAGCAGGGTCAGGAGAAGCGAGGGGCCTTGGAACAGGGACTTGGTGGCTTGTTCTTGTCGGTGCTTGCAATGACCTGATGGCAGGCAGAGAAGGGAGGGGGGTGGCCGAAAGGGAGAGGAGAGGAGAGGAAGAAAGGGCCGGATGGAAGGGCTTTGGGACATGTGGCACGTGCTTGTCTGTGATTGCATTAATTGCCTGAGAGGGGAGGGGGAGGAATAGAGAGGAGGGGCAGGAAAAACGGAAATGATTTTCTGAGAGAACGATTGGAAGAAATTGGGTGGGAAGAAGAGAGCAGCGTGCAAAGAGTGAGGGGGAGCCCGGGTGAGGAAGCAAGAGTGTGGGGTAGAGGGAGAGGGGGCCTCGCCTGGGGTAGGAAGGGGGACAGAGGTGGGGAGAGTAGGGAGGGTGGGGACGGGGAAAGTGTGGGAAAGGGGGGGGTTGAGGTGGGGGGAGATGGGGAGAGATGGGTTTCGAGGGGAGACACGAGCCGATGTGGGAATACGAGGTTCCTTAGACCTCACGGCGAGGGAGGCGAGCAGGAGGTTATGGGGAGTAGGGGAGAGGCAGAGGAGGAGGGGATTAAGGAGGGGGAGGGGAGAGAGGTTGGCGTCTGACAGTTTTTAGTTTTTTACGCTGGGGCCTGGCCTGGCCTGAGGGCGCCGATATGAGCTGCGCACTCATTGCCACATGTGCGTAAAACACGCGCAAGTGCCGCCAGATCGCCACTCGCCTGGGTGGGGAGGAGGGGCGAGAGGGGGAGAGTGGGGGGGGGAGGATGGAAAGGGGGGATGGAAGGAGAGAAAGTTTGCTACACCCCTCACACGAGGAGCCAGGCCCGGACTCGACCTTGATGGCGATCGCCGTGGCACGGGAGCGGGACAGCAGTGAATGTTGGAGAGGGGGAGCCCACACGGAGGGGCGGAAAGGAGAGAAGGATACAGAGAGCCTATGGGACGTAGGGGACGCAAGGCTATGAGAGTATGCGGCGGAACGAAGAGGGAAGGGGAGAGGAGGGAAATGAGGTGAGGAGAGGGGAGGTGCGAGGGGAAGAATAGGGTGGCGACGGAAGGAGCTTTGATCACGATGGCGCAAAAGGGACGCCACTTTGCTGCCCACGGACGGGCGGCGGGGAAGGGTGGGGAGGGGAAATGGGGACAGTGGGGAGAGAGTGAGCAGGAAGCGAAGGCGACGGGAAGGGGAAGTGGAGGGGGCGGGAGGGGGAAGTGCTTGCGATGGGATGGGGAAGTGGATGCGACGGGAGGGGGAAGTGGAGGCGACGGGAGGGGGAAGTGGAGGCGACGGGAGGGGGAAGTGGAGGCGACGGGAGGGGGAAGTGGAGGCGAAGGGAGGGGGAAGTGGAGGCGACGGGAGGGGGAAGTGGAGGCGACGGGAGGGGGAAGTGGAGGCGACGGGAGGGGGAAGTGGAGGCGACGGGAGGGGGGAGTGGAGGCGACGGGAGGGGGAAGTGGAGGCGACGGGAGGGGGAAGTGGAGGCGACGGGAGGGGGAAGTTGAGGTGACGTGAGGGGGAAGATGAGGCGACGGGATGGGGAAGATGAGGCGACGGGAGGGGGAAGTGGAGGCGATGGGAGGGGGATGTTCAGGGAACATCGCATACTTTGCATTGGGTACTTGTTTGCGCAGTGATCATTTCAAATACGGACCGTAAACCAAAGGGCTGCGCGGATTTCCATGAGGTCGCTCACGCGATTCGAATGACGACAGGGCTTTTTTCCGGTCCGAGGCGTAGAGAGCGACGAGGATGCGCGATGAAACCCCACGCGATCTCTGTCTACGCCATGAGACGCAGCGCGTCGAGGCGCAAGGCGTCGAAACGCTGCGCGAAGTGACGCAGCGCGATGTACCAACCCTGCGAGCAGCTTCGTCGACATGGCAAGTCGACGGAGTGCCGGCATGGTTGGGACTACTATCTAAACGACCTTCGGTCATACGACGAACGCGACCATCGCCGTCGCATCGTCTGGATGTGCGCTCTGCTCGGAGGTGCCAGAAACAGGCAATAGCACCAGCACCATCAATGCCCCTATTTTCCGCTGCTAGCTTGCCATAGTTCCCAGTATATAGCATTAAGATTGAGAGCAGGCGTGCCATGGCCGTTCCTACTGTGCGTTCGAGTTGTGCGTGGGCTTTTTTGTTAGTGCAGCGGGTACTTGTTTGTGTCCAAGAGTCCCAAATTGCACACCCTCGTATTCAAGTTTTTGGGTGTGTGTTGGTTCTGCCGAGCCCTGGTTTGCGACTGAAGACATTTGTGTTCAATCTCATTGGTTCTCAAAATAGGGGTAGTCAACTCTCATTGGCTCACAGCCTGAGTTGTGTCGCGCGGACCTCTGTCTCCCAGAAACCTGGTAACCCGAAAGTCAGGGGAACAAGTTTTAAAAACTTGAACCGCGCGGCTTGCAATTTGGGCCGCGGGCTTTAAACGGCTATGATACGAACAACGAGATTGCTTACAATGTGCCGTTTCCCCACAGGGGTTCTAGTGGGAGGTAAACGGGATAGGCTTGGGCACGTGTTCACCATATGTCGAGCCTTGATTGGAAAATTGTCGAAATAGACTCATTTTGATTGGTACGGCGTCATAGCTCATAGTTCAAGGAACGCCTATCGAACAATAGACGGCAGTGACGGCACCGCGGGTGGCAACATCGCCAGTGGTACGCAGATATTACGTCGGAGGACGTCGGGCGTCACAGCCAAAATGGCGTTTCTACAAGACTGTACAGTACGCCCGAGCCTGGACACTCTTCGGGATTCTTCCGCAAAAGTATATCATAGCAGTCACCCGGGATGTGACCGTCGGATCACAGTGACTGTACGCCTGGCTTATCAGATGCACGCCAGGGGACGGATTTCTGAAAGCCAGGGTTTGGGCGAATTTGTGCGACGAGGTTGGGTTGGGCTTCGCATGCATGTGTGAGCAGCGAAATTCATTTCTTGGGTGGTTCCTTCCATTCCTTCTGGGCAGGTACGTTCGGGCTTCAGGAGGAAGCTTTTATGACCATTTCAACCTGAGCAAGTTCGCAGCCGCGATATGTTTGCCGAGATTTTTGCCGTCTCTCTTACCGCGTCGCGCGTTCGAGGTTATCCTGGCTGTGCGTCTCAGCGGATGAATCAGTCGTCTCGTCGCTCCCGTTTGCCCGCCCGCCGGGGGAACGCCGCCGTCGTCGCTCCCCCCAGCGAGGGCGGGGAAACAAAAATCCCGCCAGCTGGGGCCTCATGATAACCCGGAGGTTATCCTTATGTGTATCAAGAAGTCGCGCGCCGTCCTTATTTTCCAGACCACAGACAGTAGGGCGAGTCATCATGATGCTCGCGCGCCCTACAGTTCAGCTTATCGTCAAGCGCCCTACTAGTAGGGCAGCAGAAACAGCAGCGATGGTGTTACTAGCGGTAACTGCCGTGGTACGTATGCGCTGCACAAACGCCGCACTGGGCCCTTGACGCGCCTCAAGAGTAGTCTGTGCTCAGTTTATGAGTCGACTCAAGATTAGGAGTCTCTTCTCACTGAGCAGTTCATTCTAGTCCTCATCATCTCCTCGTGTCATGTGAAGCGAGGTTGTTTTTGAGACGTCTCAAAAGCAGTTCATTCTATACCTCATCATCTCCTCCTGTCATTTGTTCATATACCCGGCGTTTGACGCGCCTCAAGGTTCGTCTCTGCTCAATCTACAGGCCTCATAATCTCCTCTCCTCCTCTTATCCGGCATGCGGCCCGGCCCTTGACGCGCCTCAAGAGTCGTCTCTACTCAGTTCATTGTTGTCTTCATAGCCTCCTCCTCTTATCCGGCCATGCGGCCCGGCCGGACGTCGCTCATCGTGTTATCGCTCATGGCACTCTTCGCGCTGCTTTTGCTGGTACTCGGAATACTGGTCTGGACTAAGGGGGCTCCTGGGGAGACTCCTATTGTTACTAACAGCAATAGGAGTACGCTTATTCTGCTGCGCAATAATATCTTTGGTGCCAAGTGCCTAGATGGAAGGTGAGAGCCTGCTATGCGAGGCGTCCTGTAGTAACGCCTGTGGGCTGTGTAGGGCATTTCGCTGCGCCGAATAGCACCCTCGTTTTGACCCTGTGCCTGTACCTGGACGGAAGGTGAGAGCCAGCGAGGTGAGAGCAAGTGAGGTGAGAGCAAGTGAGGTGAGAGCAAGTGAGGTGAGAGCCAGCGAGGTGAGAGCAAGTGAGGTGAGAGCAAGTGAGGTGAGAGCCAGCGAGGTGAGAGCAAGTGAGGTGAGAGCCAGCGAGGTGAGAGCAAGTGAGGTGAGAGCCAGCGAGGTGAGAGCAAGTGAGGTGAGAGCAAGTGAGGTGAGAGGCAGCGAGGCGCCCATCCCAATCATCAGTTATAGCACACCTCGCTACCCACTGGGTCATAACATCTCCCCCATCTCCCCCACACCACCTCCCCTACGCCAGCCCTCCAGGGTACTACTTCCGTCCCGGCACCGGCTCAGGGCGCCGCAAGTGGCACATCTGCCTCTCCTCAAGTAGGTGTGTCACTGTCCCCCATGCCATCTCCCCCACACCATCTCCCCTACTCCAGCCCTCCAGGGTACTACTTTCGCCCCGGCACGGGTTCAGGGCGCCGCAAGTGGCACATCTACCTGCCCGGGGGGGGATGGTGTCTCACTGTCGCGGAATGTATTGAACGGGCGGACACAAATTTCGGGTCTACAAGAGGATACCCCAAGCACCCCAGCGGCCGAGTAAGGCTGCTACTGTTGCTTCTACCCTCAAGCCTTTGTGAACTCTCGTTTATTGATTGAAGCTTGTGTGTGTGCGTGTGCGTGTGCGTGTGTGTGCGTGCGTGCGTGCGTGCGTGCGTGCGTGCGTGTGCGTGTGTGTGTGTGTGTGTGTGTGTGTGTGTGTGTGTGTGTGTGTGTGTAATAAGCTTGCTTCTTGACTTCATTCAGCTATAAGCTGTTTGTTTTTCCCTTGCCCAGCCAAGCCTTCTCCTTAGCCAGCACCCTCGCGCGCTCCGTTTGCATTGTGGCATTGCCATGCACAGGCCTGGTTTGGCGGTATACTGAGATCCAAGGAGACCGTGAACCTTGAGTCGACTCCAAGGCCACCTCTTTGCTTTGCACTCTTCGTTTGCACTGTGACATTGCCATGCACGCACAGGCTTGGTTTGGAGGTATACTGAGCGCCCACGAGACCGTGAACCCCGTCTTTCATAACTGGAACCTTGTGAGGTTGGTCTACTGCGATGGGGGCGGCTATGCCGGCACGAGAGGGCGGATCAAGCTTACAAGCAGCTACTCGGGTTTGAACACAACGGCCACTGCTTCGAAAGCAGTGAGGCTCGCCGTGGCAACGAATGTGAGCTTTGAGGCGGCCGGCTCAACGGAGTCAACCAAGTCAACGGGTTTAACCAACTCAACGGATCCAGCCAAGTCAACGGAGTCAACCAAGTCAACGGAGTCAAAGCTGTCACTGCATTCAGCCATCTACCTGGACGGATGGAACATCGTTCAGGCCGTGCTGCAAGGTGCGTTGATCCCCTCCTGCCTGTACTCTGTAAAAGCTCCTCTCCTCCACCCAACCGTGTCCTCCTCTCATAACCTCATTGCATCCCACCATCCTCTTGTTTCTCCTCGTTGCATCCCACCATCCTCATGTTTCTCCTTGTTTACTTCCCTCTCAGCCCATGCGGTCCCGCATCTCCTCGCCCTCACGCCCTCCCTTTTTCTTTTCTGTTCTATCCTCATTGCACTCTGTCACCCCTACATCTCTCCTCTCCTTACCTATCACACCTCCAGCACCCTCGTGGCTTTGGCCCTGTCCCCCAAAATTTACGCCTAAAATAATTCCTTCGTCCCCCATCCCCCATCCCCCTTCCCCCTCCCCCCATCTCCCATCCCCCTTCCCCCTCCTCCCATCCTCCGTCCCCCATCCTCCGTCCCCCATCCCCCATCCCCCATCCCCCACCCCCCATCCCCCACCCCCCATCCCCCATCCCCCATGCCCCATCCCCTATCCCCCATCCCTCATCCCCTATCCCCCATCCCCCATCCCCCATCCCCCATCCCCTATCCCCCATCCCTCATCCCCTATCCCCCATCCCTCATCCCCTATCCCCCATTCCACATACCCCTCCTCTCCCTATCAGACCTCCAGCACCACCGTGGATTTGGCGCCGCCGCCCAGATTTTGCTTTCGGGCAGCTCGGCTGGCGGGCAGGCCACGGCAAACCTCTGTGATTGGATGGCCTCTTCTTTCCCATCCGTGTCCACCCGATGCCTTGTGGACTCTGGCTTCTTTCTTGGTAGGCCCTCCTGGTAATCCGTCCTTCCCTTCTAGTAACCAGCCCAGACCTGCCCGCCTAGTAACCAGCCCAGCCCTGCTCGCCTAGTAATCAGCCCTTCTACGTATCGGACCTTCAATAGAGGGCTCGCCATTGCCTTCCATGCTATGTCGTTTGCGCAAAGGCCAGTGCTTGTCGTTTGTGACTCGTTTACTGACCTTGCTGCTGCTTGAATCTTGCACTTTTCAGACACTAGGGACCGCTTTGCAAGGCGCACCTTTCGTGCGGTGGCACGGAAATTGACCTGGCTGCATCGTCCGCTCAACCCCACCTGCTCCTATGGTACTTCCTTTTCCTCCCACCGTTGTAACCTGCCTTGCACGTGTGTGTATCCTCCCGTTCCTTCCTAGCATGATATCACCTTTGAACATTTTATCACCTTGTGTCAACTCCTCTTCACCATTCGCCACCCTTTTCTATCCAGCCGCCAGGCGATCGGAGCAATGGAAGTGCTTCTTCCTACAGCACACCCTTCTCGACATCTCCACTCCAATCTTCCTCTTCCACACCCCCTTTGACTACGCCGCTGCCATGATTGGTAACCTCGTACCTAACAATTACCACCGTGCAGTATCTTGCATGAGGGAGAAGCGGAAGGTGGGGTGCATTGAGGTGGAGGGCCAACTCGTCGTGTTCAAAGGGGGAACGCCAAGCTTTTTTCTGGGCAGCGTGGACTCTTTACGATCAAGTAAAGACTTTGTTCTTGCAGAAGAAAACATTATGGGGAGTGTATATTCCTGCGTCGTACGCACATACATGCACCGCCAGTTCATGTTGGAATGAGCCGTGGATGAGCCACTGTGTATCTGTTGCTGACGCGTTTGGGTTTTGGGAATCCAGAAATTCCTCTATGCGAGATATTGCATGACATCTTTGTCATTTCGTTGTTTCTGTGTTTGCTACTATAATGTGTATTTGCATTGCCGTCTTTAGCAATCAAGTATGCTTTCTATCCCTTTTTTTCTTTAGAACAAATTCTTGCTAGTTGGGAATAAGCTATCATGCAAGTGTATGCAAGCAGTGTATCGTAAATTGAGGTCGCAATTCGCAGCTGCAGATTTGCATTGCAGTCTACATTTTCAACCGCTCATACGAGCCGCGACACGCTCTTTATCGTCGTGTCGCGTCATCCCAATTTCCACTCCAGCTCAGACCACGGATAGAGTACAGTACAGTACGGAAGTCCAACCAAGTCATGCTCGCACGACAGGTTGGTTGGTGGGGCTTCAATCAGCCTTTTCTCCCCCAGCAGGAATGGTAGTTGTGGCTGCCATGAGACGTTTCTTGCAATGCAGTGCATTCGTCCGAATTGCACGGGAAAGAATTGCGACTTGTTGTGGGCAGTGGGCACATTCACCTGAACCACAGCAGCGTACTGACTAAGTTCATAGTATCACCAAGCCGCTTCTCCTCATGCTCTCCTCGCTTTACCAGCTATGCATGTCCGAATCCGAAAGTCCCTCATAATCTCTCTCATAGCAGTCTGTGCGCTGCTTGCGTTAGTAATCGGAATAGTTCTTTGGAAAAGGGGGACTCCTAAGGAGGCCGGTACCACTACTAGTAGCAACAGTACGCTTGTTCCGCTCATTCTGCTGCCTAATAACACGCTTGGTGCCAAGTGCCTGGATGGAAGGTAATCCTGCCAACAGTCCAATAGTAAGTGATTCTTGTGACAGTAGTCGGAAAAGTTTTTTGCACGAAGCGGCTCCCTGAGCACACTCCTAATACTACTACTAGTAGTAATAGTACGCTTATTCCGCTTATTATGCTGTCCAATAATACGCTTTGGTGCCGAGTGTCTGGATGGAAGGTGGGCCAGCGAGGCGTCCAATCATTGACTAGGCGTCCAAGCTTCTAGGCGGGTGATTAGTGTTTGTTCACTGTTCCGTCGAAACGCGTGTGTGATTAAGTAATCATTTCAGGACTTCTTTTCGGTGCTGCGACGCTCATCTCGCCATCCGTTCGCCAACCAACTGGGATTCGTTTCGCTCCTGTGTTATGTCAGGTCCCCACACAACACATTCCCCATACCCTCTTCCCCACTCGGCATACCCTCTTGCCCATTTCGCATACTTATATTTCCCACTCTCCATACCATCTTCCCCATTCCACATACCCGCTTCCCCATGCCTTCCCTCCAGCCCTCCAGGGTATTATTTCCGCGCGCGCCAGAACTGGCACATACACCTGCCTTCAGGGGGGTGGTGTGTCACTGTTGCTGCATGCGCGGAGCGTGCGCGCACACGCTTCATTGCCATCTTTCCAATGCCATCTCCCTCCCACCTACCATCTCCCCTGCGCCAGCCCCCCAGGGTACTATTTCCGCGCCGGCACCGGCTCGGGGAGCCAGAACTCGCACATCCACCTGCCTTCAGGGGGGTGGTGTGTCACTGCAGCTGCATGTGCGGAGCGGGCGCGCACACGCTTCATTACCCTCTGCCCCATACCCTCTTCCCCGTCCCCCCCCACATCATCTCCCCCGCTGCAGCCCTCCGGGATACTATTTCCGCGCCGGCACCGGCTCGGGGAGCCAGAACTGGCACATATAGCTGCCTGCAGGCGGCTGGTGCGTCACTGTCAGTGCATGCGCGCAGCGTGCGCGCACACTGCTTGGGACGACAAGAGGATACCCCAAGCAACTCAATGACTCTGTAAGGCTGTTGTTACCTTTGAGACGCCTCGAAAAGAAGAAGAAGAAAGGTTCCTGCTACGTCTACCATCAAAAGATTGTACATCAGTTTTGAAAGTTCTAAAACATTCACAAGGCAAGAGGATGCCTGAGCCTCGAAGAGGGCTCACTTTTCTCTATTTTACTTCAACAAAGTGTTGGGATGAACCTTTTTCTTGCAATCCTCCTCACTCCTCCTCACTCCTCCTCACTCCTCCTCAGCCCCCTCTTTCCGCCCCTGGTTCTATTGTCTTTCCTGTGCAGACTCCATATCACCACTCACCCCAATCCTCTTCCCTCTTCTTGTACACCCCTCAACCATCCCAATCCACACATCCTTTTCTTGCACGATGGCATCGCCTTGCACAGGAAACGTTTGCCGGTGTGCTGAGCTCCAACGAGCAAGTGAACCCCCTCTTTTCAAGGCACCTAAAAAACAGTTCAACCATGCACGATCCACATCCTTGTCTTTCCTCCATGTCAACTCTTTGCACAGGAAACGTTTGCGGGTGTGCTGAGCTCCAACGAGCGAGTGAATCCCGTCTTCCACAACTGGAACCTCGTGAGGCTGCTCTACTGTGACGGGGGCGGCTATGCGGGCACGAGAGGGCGGATCAAGCTCACAGACAGCTACTCTGATCCGAGCACCGCTGGCACTTTGCCGAAATCAGTGAGGATCGCCCCGGCAACGAATGTGAGCTTGGAGGCGGATGGGTCAACGGGGTCAACGGGGTCAAACCTGACGCTGAAACAGCATTCAGCCATCTACCTGGACGGATGGAACATCATTCAGGCGGTTCTGCAAGGTGTGTGCCAATTCCCCCCCTCGCCTGCACCTTGTTGTAGGGATAGATGCTCTTTCAAATTTTCCTTCTCTCATCACATGACATGCATCTCAATTATCAACTTTCTCTTTCCCTCTCTCTCCCTCTCTTGCATCTTTAAGGTGGTCCTGTCACATCCCTCTCTTCATTCTTCTCAGCCATTCTTCTCTGCTTTCTTCCCATTTCCCCTTCCCCGATCCACCTCTCCCTCACCTCTTCACACCATTCGCCCCCCATTCTCCCATCCCTCTCATCAGACCTCCAGCTTCAGCGTGGCTTTGGCTCTGCCTCGCAAATTTTGCTTTCGGGCAGCTCGGCTGGTGGGCAGGCCACGGCAAACCTCTGTGATTGGCTGGCCTCTTTGTTTCCGTCCGCATCCACCCGGTGCCTTGTGGACGCTGGCTTTTTCCTAGGTACGCCCTTCTAGTATATCGGCCCACCCTTTCTTACAGCGCCTTGTTTTGCCAAAGCAAACAACCCCTGTCCTCACAGGTGACTTGTTTCCCAACCTCGTTTTTCCACCTTTCTTTCGGCTCCTCCCACTATCTGAATGGTCCCCTGGCTCCCTTGTTCCAACTTTGTGATTCTCAGACACACGGGATTGCTTTTCAAGGCGCACCTTTCTTTCGGCCCCTCCCACCATCTGAATGGCTCCCCCCTGCCTCCTCCTCTTTAAATTTGTGATTCTCAGACACACGGGATCGCTTTTCAAGGCGCACCTTTCGTGCGCTGGCGAAGAAATTGACATCGCTGCATCGTCCGGTCAACCCTACCTGCTCCTATGGTACCGCCACCCACCACCCTAACCTGCTGTGCATGTACTATCTCATCACCTTTTCTAGCTTTTGTTCAGCTTTGCTCATTTTATCACCTTTGTATCTTGATATCGCCTTCGCATTTGACCGTTTTTATCGCCTTTGACCCCCTCATATCCAGCTGCCAGGGGATCCGAGAAATGGAAGTGCTTCTTCCTACAGCACACACTTCTCAACATTTCCACTCCAATATTCATCTTCCTTACACCACCGTAACCTTCCTTGCACATGTATCCTCCAGTTCCTTCCTAGCATGATATCACCTTTGCACCTTTAATCACCTTTGTTGTAACTCCTCTTCACCATTCTCCACCCCATTCTATCCAGCTGCCAGGGGATCCGAGCAATGGAAGTGCTTCTTCCTACAGCACACCCTTCTCGACATCTCCACCCCAATCTTCCTCTTCCAAGCCCCCTTCGACTGCGCTGCTGCCATGATTGGTAACCTCTTGCCTGACAACTCGACTCACGCATATTCTTGCGTGATCGAAACACTCCATGTCCGAAAACATATCACAAGTATAGTGAGGGCCGGAACGTGGGGTGCATTGAGGTGGGGTTCCAATTCGGCGTGTTCAAAGGAGGAGCGCGAATCCCTTTCCTGGACAGCGAGGACTCTATACGATCAGGTGAAGAATCTAATAATGCAGAAAAATACGTCATTTGGAGTGTATATTCCTGCGTCATACGTACATACGTGCGTTGCTGGCTCGTGTTGGAATATACCCTGGATGAACCACCGTGGATCTCTTGCTGATGTGGTTAACCTTTGGGGAAAAAATGGTACTCGAAATTCCTCTATTGTACGTATTGCATGACTATTATGCTTCTCAGGTTCAATTTGTTCGATATATGACTCTAAAACTACCTGTATTTACCTGTTTTGGTTGGTGCCATATTATGCCAGGGAAGCAGTTTTGTTATATGGGAATATGGTATCTCAGTGTACCGATCTTGTACTACTGTATTATAAAGATTACTGTATTATAATTTTGAAGCTTGTTCTTGACGCATATAGTAGTGATCGTCAAGCCGCGACCCTAGTAATTGGTACGGCGCGTACGTGTGATTCGTCATTCGTGAATGCTGTTCGGCTTTAGTCTGTGTAGTTGTCGAGCGCAAGTAGTTAGAGAGCTTATCAGAAAGAAATTAAGGGTTAAATATGTGCTTCCCGAAATCCCTGCATGTGACCTCGATATCTCCGTCAATGTGGCTTGTACAGCGCTCCTCGACAATACCTAATCACCGCTCCATAATGTCGCAACCTACCTCGTTCTAACCGTTGGAGTGTATTTTTTAGAGTGTACTTTCGTGCCGCACTGCGGACCGTCGCGAAATGGACACGCAGTGAGTATTGGAACTTCATGACTTTTGAGTCGACTTAAAAGTGTGAACTCGCGAAATGAACACGCTGGGAGTATTGGAACTTCAGGAGATGCGGGGAGTCGAGGAATCAGAGGGGATTGAGGGATTACGGAACGGAAAAGACCTACGGGACAGCTCAACGCATGGCAGCAGTGCAGACGGCGAGGAGAGGGCGACGACGATCGCAGAGGCACCTCAGAAGCAACCTAGTCCCAGCCACGCTAATGACGACGGGATGAAGACGGGGGAGCGTGAGAAGCAGCACGAGGCCTCCGCTCCCTCCGATCCCTCCGCTCCCCCCGCTCCCTCCGCTCCCTCCAATCCCTCCCTCTCCTCTCCGCCTCCCCCTGTCCGCTGGCCCGTTGCGCCATGCACGGAGGGGAGGCTTGAGGGGCCGTCGCGGCTCGACATCTCGCCCGCGCCGGGGGAAGCGGAAGGGTGGGAGGCCGCGCCGAGTCCGGGGAAGGCGCGGGAGTGGGGGGAGTGGGGGGAGTCGGCGGAGTGGGCGGAGGTAGATCTGCGCGAGATCACGCTGACCAAGGAGATCGCGCGGGGGTCGTCCAGCGTGGTGTACAGAGGCGTGTACCGCAAGCAGAGCGTTGCTGGTAGGTTCAGTGCGGTGAGGAGGGATGGGAGAGATGAGGACTGGGATGTTGAGAGATAGTAGGTTTAAGGGGAGAGGTTGTGGGGGAAGAGGTCACGTCGGTAGAGTGAAGAGGTAGGGGTCTGTGTGCGTGCGTTGCAGTGAAGGTGGTGGTCCTGGGTGGGGGCGACGGGCCATCAGTGCACGCGGTGCAGGAGATGCGGGAAGACTGACCTTCTTCCCCCTCATCTCCACGCCATGCCCTCCGCGCCCCGCCCCCCCGCTCTCCTCCCCGTGTGCGTCCCTCGCAGTGAAGGTGGTGGACCTAGGAGGCAGCGACGACGGGTCACGCGGTGCAAAGCAAGACGACGATCTGCCTTTCCCCACCCCCCTCTCCTGCCCTCCCCCGCCTCCCCTCGTGCGTCCCTCGCAGTGAAGGTGGTGGACCTAGGCAGCGACGACGGCTCGTCACTGCACGAGGTGCAGGAGAGGAGGGCGGCGCTTATACGGGAGGTGATTATATGGAGCCGCGTCACGCACCCCCACATTGTGCCGGTGAGTCAGTCAGTGTCAGGGTGACGTACCTGTCCATCTGTTTGAGTCCGCTTGTAAGGAGGACGGCTCATTGGGAGGTGATTAAATGGAGCCGCCTCGCGAACCCCCCCCCTCCCCCTCCTCCCATGCGCGTGTGCTCCCCCTCCCAACCAGGTGATAGGAGCGCACATCCCCCTGCTCTCCCCCGAGGCCCACCCGTCCCCCTCCCCCCGACAGCCCGGGCAGCAGAGGGTGGACTCGCGCCTGCGGGGCGAGCAGGCGTGCGTTGTGAGTGCGCTCATCGGCACGGGAGTGACTCTTAAGGAGTATCTCGCTCGCACTGCCAGGGAGAAGAGGAAGCTGCCGCTGCACATGCTGGTGGACCTGGCCATGCAGCTCGCCAAGAGGTGAGGTGGGGGGGGGGAGGGAGAGGGTGAGGGGGGGTTGATGTGCTTGTGGGCACGGGCATGGGGATGTGTGCATGGGGATGTGTGCATGGGGATGTGTGCCCCCATCACGTGCTGCTCGACTCTTCCTTGTGCCTGCACCTCACCCACCCATCCGTCCTCCTCTCCCCCAACCCACTCCCCCCTCACCCACAGCCTCGCCTTCCTACACTCCCTGCGGGTGGTGCATGGCGACGTGTGTCCCGATCACGTGCTGCTCGACTCCACCTTACGCCTGCACCTCGCGGGCTTCGCCTGTGCTTCTATCGAGGGAGACCTCGCATACAGTCACGCGGGCAGAGGGGAGGAGCGCGGCAATCCGAACTACATGGCTCCTGAGGTAAGCGGGACGGAGGTGAGCGAGCATGTGCCTGTTGTCCATGCTATCCCATCCCCATCCCCAACCCTCCCAACCTCACTTCCTCTCTCCCTTTTCTCTCTCATTGCCCTCACCTCCTCTCCCTTCCCATCAGGTGCTCAACTCCCTGCCATACGACCGCCAGGCAGACGTGTTCAGCTTTGGCATGTGCTTGTGGGCCATGCTCTCCTGTGAGCCGCCCTTTCCCAAGTGTGATTACAACGAGATCTCCGACCTTCTGCAGCAGGTATGGAATGAATGGTAACCATAACGAGACCCTTGACCATTACCATTACCATTATTATTACCATTACCATTAGTTTTATCATCACCGTCAGAACTACCAATCACATGACCATTACCAATAGCATTACCATTACCACCCATTACCACTATCACTACCATTTTCAGTACCATTATCATTACCATTAGCGTTACGATTACCGTTACCATTACCATTACTATTACCATTATCATTACCATTGCTATTACCATTACTATTACCATTACTATTACCATCACCATCAGAATTACCATTACCATTACCATTACCATTGCTATTACCATTACTATTACCATTACTACTACCATCACCATCAGAATTACCATTACCATTACCATTACCATTTCCATTGACCTCTTGCCAGTTGCAGTTCGCGGACAGGTTCGAAAAGAGACATGGTTGAATCTTGCGATTGGCTTTACATCCGATTTCCGTTTAACGAGCTTTCCTTCATCTCTCCCTCCCCTTCCATGTCTCCATCATTTCCCCCTAGTGTTGCTCACTCCGTCCCTCCTCCTCCTATCCCCCCGCTGCTCCTCCATCCCCCAGGGCGTGCGCCCAATAATTTCCCCCAAGTGCCCTTCCGGCTTTGCGCATGTGCTGCAGTGCTGCTGGCAGGGCCCCTGTTTCAACCCGCCCCCCTCCCCTCTCCTCTCCCCCTCTCCCCCCATGCACTTCCCCAGGATGTGCGCCCCATAATCTCCCCCAAGTGCCCCCCCGACTTGGCGCATGTGCTGCGCTGCTGCTGGGAGGGCGACCCTGCTACCCGCCCCTCCATGCCGCAACTCATCGCCCTGCTGCGCTCACTCAATGTCTTCTCCTCCCACCAGGAGGAGAAGTCAGCAAAGGATGCTGGAGTGAGACAGCTGCACATAGGGAGAGGCTGAGGCACGTCAATAGGAAGTTCCCTTGCTCACTTTTCCCCTTTTCCCTCTCTTCACCCTTTTCCCCCTTCCCACCCCTCTCACACTCCCCCTATCCCTCAGGGCGTGCGCCCCATCATCTCCCCCAAGTGCCCCCCCGACTTGGCGCATCTACTGCAGCGCTGCTGGGAGGGCACTTGTTTCAACCCGCCCCCCTCCCCTCTCCTCTCCCCCTCTCCCCCCATGCACTTCCCCAGGGCGTGCGCCCCATAATCTCCCCCAAGTGCCCCCCCGACTTGGCGCATCTACTGCAGCGCTGCTGGGAGGGCACTTGTTTCAACCCGCCCCCCTCCCCTCTCCTCTCCCCCTCTCCCCCCATGCACTTCCCCAGGGCGTGCGCCCCATCATCTCCCCCAAGTGCCCCCCCGACTTGGCGCATCTACTGCAGCGCTGCTGGGAGGGCGACCCTGCTGCCCGCCCCTCCATGCCCCAACTCACCGCCCTGCTGCGCTCAGTCAACGTCTTCGCCACCCCCCAGGACCACGCACCCACAGATGCCCCGAGGGGTGCGTCAGTGGGTGCAGCCAGGGATGCCCGCGCCACGAGGGGAGAGGCTGCAGTAGTGCAGCATGCACGGAGTGCCGACCAGGTGCAAAGAGGAGGGGCCAAGCTGCCTCTCTTCTCCTCCCTGGGCTCCTCTCTTGGCTCTTCCCTTGGCCGTTTCAGCTTCGCACGCGGTAGATTTGCGCAGTTGACTTTCCCACCAGCATTTTCGTATTCGTCACCGCCACCATCGGCAGCAGCGCCTTTCCCACTACCAGCGTCAGCTTCCGAGTCTGCTGCTGTCTCAGTCGCACGTGCTGCATCAGCAGCAGCGGCGCCGGCAGCAGTAGTGGCAACACCAGCTGCTGCTGTGCCAGCGTCGAGAGAGGAAGATGCTGTGAGAGAACCAGGGAGCATGCCGGGACCGGCGTGTGTTAGAGATACCAGGGAGCATGCTAGAGATACTGTGGGGCAATCAGAAGCAAGGGACGTCCATGAAGGGAAACAACTAGTCTGCAGCAAAGACATGCGGCAGCAACTAGACTCCTCTCTCTCTCCCTCCTCTGAACCCCCTGCCACTTCTCCCCACCTAAACGCTCCCGCTCCCTCTCCCCCTCTCCCTCCGCCTCTCCCTCTCCTCATACCACCCTCCTCTCTTCCTAACGATCCGCCCTCTCCTCTTCCCACACTCCCCTCCCATGTTACCATCCCTCCCTCCCTGCCTTCGCCTTCCTCCTCTCCTCTGCACTCCTCCCTTCCACCCCCCTCTCCACACCCCTTTTCCCCCTCTCGCTCCTCTCATCCCTCCCCTTCCGCCTCCTCCTTCCCGCCCTCCTCGCCCTCTCCTGCTGCCTCTGCAAGCCCCGCTGTGTCATCAGCAGCTGCCAGAGGCTATGCTGTAGCAGGTCGGGTGGCTGGAGCTAGCCCAGCTGCTGCTGCTGCCGCCGCTGCCAGTGCCGCTGCAAATCCCCCGGCAAATACCGAGGCTAGCGCCGGTGCTAGTCCCGAGGCTAGCACCGAAGCTAGCACCGGGTGTGTGGGATGGGAAAGGCGATCAGCAGCAGACAGCATCAGCCCTGTTGGCAGTGCTCGGAGCACTGGTTGGGAGGCAGTGGGTATAGCAGCCGCTGCTGGGAATGCGAGCCCTGCAGGGAGCATGGGGAGCATGAGGAGTGTGGGGTGGGATGGGGGGGCGATGTCACCTGCATGGAGTGGGGAGGCGGGGCAGGCGTGGGTGGGGGAGAGGCCAGTGTGGGAGATCAAGCTGAGGAACGTTATTTTAAAGAAAGAGATTGCTAAGGGGTCGTCCGGGACTGTGTACAAGGGCAAATACAAGGACAGCCCCGTTGCAGGTATGGGCTGTCTCTTACCACTACCATTTGCAGAGTGGTGCCCTTTTCACCTGTGTGGGAGATCAAGCTGAGGAACGTGGTGCTGAAGAAAGAGATTGCTAAAGGTTCATCTGGGACTGTGTACAAGGGCAAATACAAGGACAGCACTGTTGCAGGTATGGCCTCCGAGCACCACCGTCCAAGTATGATCCCTCTCAACATAACCCTATGAGATTGCGGGTCGTCTGGGACTGTGTACAAGGGCAAATACAAGGACAGCACCGTTGCAGGTGAGAGCCCTCCCACATGCAGTGTTAAGATGTCTCAAACCCTTTTCCCCCTCTGTCTGTACCCCCTCCCACGCACGTTCGCTTGCTCATCTTGCACACACCACCAGTGTGAGTGGTACGTGAGAAAGTAAATCAAGCCGTTTTCTGAGACGTCTCAAATCTTTGGAGACGTTTGAAAACCGGTGTGAGTGGTACGTGGGAATATAAATTAAGTCGTCTCAAAGCTTTTCTCCTTGTCCCTCCCACCCTCTCCTGATGCACACCTGCACCCACCCACCACCAGTGCGGGTGGTGCCTTGGAGCGAGGAGGAAGGGGAGATGTCAGAGGGGGAGCAATAAGAGATGTCCTGTCAAGTGGTGTATGCAAGTGCTACAACGTCTCAATTATTTTCACCCTCTGTCCCCCCCTCTTCCCACCCACCACCAGTGCGGGTGGTGCCTTGGAGCGAGGTGGAAGGGGAGATGTGTGAGGGGGAGCAGTGGGAGCAGAGGAGGGCCAAGTTCCTAAGGGAAGTGACTATATGGAGACGGCTCAAACACCCCAATATAGTCAAGGTGAGACCCACGCGTTCCATCTACTGACACGCCCTAAAATTTCCTCCTCACGTTACGTCCCGCTTCCCTTTCTTCTCATAGGAACCCAGAAGCTTTTCTGAGCTGGGAGGGATGAACAACGGGACAAGAATGATCCTCCGAGCTCGCATTATGGGAGGGATGGAGGGATGGACAACGGGACACGGATGATCCTCCGAGCATCCCACCATCCCTCCGAGCTCGCATTATAGTACTCCCGTTGTCCATCCCACCATCCCTCTAAGGTGCTTGCCTCTAAGGTGCTTGCCTCTAAGGTGCTTGCCTCTAAGGTGCTTGCCTCTAAGGTGCTTGCCTCTAAGGTGCTTGCCTCTAAGGTGCTTGCCTCTCAGGTGCTTGCCTCTAAGGTGCTTGCCTCTAAGGTGCTTGCCTCTAAGGTGCTTGCCTCTAAGGTGCTTGCCTCTAAGGTGCTTGCCTCTAAGGTGCTCGCCTCTAAGGTGCTCGCCTCTAAGGTGCTCGCCTCTAAGGTGCTCGCCTCTAAGGTGCTCGCCTCTAAGGTGCTCGCCTCTAAGGTGCTTGCCTCTAAGGTGCTTGCCTCTATGGTGCTTGCCTCTAAGGTGCTTGCCTCTAAGGTGCTTGCCTCTAAGGTGCTTGCCTCTAAGGTGCTTGCCTCTAAGGTGCTTGCCTCTAAGGTGCTTGCCTCTAAGGTGCTTGCCTCTAAGGTGCTTGCCTCTAAGGTGCTTGCCTCTCAGGTGCTTGCCTCTAAGGTGCTTGCCTCTAAGGTGCTTGCCTCTAAGGTGCTTGCCTCTAAGGTGCTTGCCTCTAAGGTGCTTGCCTCTAAGGTGCTTGCCTCTAAGGTGCTCGCCTCTAAGGTGCTCGCCTCTAAGGTGCTCGCCTCTAAGGTGCTCGCCTCTAAGGTGCTCGCCTCTAAGGTGCTCGCCTCTAAGGTGCTCGCCTCTAAGGTGCTCGCCTCTAAGGTGCTTGCCTCTAAGGTGCTTGCCTCTAAGGTGCTTGCCTATAAGGTGCTTGCCTCTAAGGTGCTTGCCTCTAAGGTGCTCGCCTCTAAGGTGCTCGCCTCTAAGGTGCTCGCCTCTAAGGTGCTCGCCTCTAAGGTGCTCGCCTCTAAGGTTCTTGCCTCTAAGGTGCTTGCCTCTAAGGTGCTTGCCTCTAAGGTGCTTGCCTCTAAGGTGCTTGCCTCTAAGGTGCTTGCCTCTAAGGTGCTTGCCTCTAAGGTGCTTGCCTCTAAGGTGCTTGCCTCTAAGGTGCTTGCCTCTAAGGTGCTTGCCTCTAAGGTGCTTGCCTCTAAGGTGCTTGCCTCTAAGGTGCTTGCCTCTAAGGTGCTTGCCTCTAAGGTGCTTGCCTCTAGGTGCTCGCCTCTAAGGTGCTTGCCTCTAAGGTGCTCGCCTCTAAGGTGCTCGCCTCTAAGGTGCTCGCCTCTAAGGTGCTCGCCTCTAAGGTGCTCGCCTCTAAGGTGCTTGCCTCTAAGGTGCTTGCCTCTAAGGTGCTTGCCTCTAAGGTGCTTGCCTCTAAGGTGCTTGCCTCTAAGGTGCTTGCCTCTAAGGTGCTTGCCTCTAAGGTGCTTGCCTCTAAGGTGCTTGCCTCTAAGGTGCTTGCCTCTAAGGTGCTTGCCTCTAAGGTGCTTGCCTCTAAGGTGCTTGCCTCTAAGGTGCTTGCCTCTAAGTTGCTTGCCTCTAAGGTGCTTGCCTCTAAGGTGCTCGCTCCTAAGGTGCTCGCTCCTAAGGTGCTTGCCTCTAAGGTGCTCGCCTCTAAGGTGCTCGCCTCTAAGGTGCTCGCCTCTAAGGTGCTCGCCTCTAAGGTGCTCGCCTCTAAGGTGCTCGCCTCTAAGGTGCTTGCCTCTAAGGTGCTTGCCTCTAAGGTGCTTGCCTCTAAGGTGCTTGCCTCTAAGGTGCTTGCCTCTAAGGTGCTTGCCTCTAAGGTGCTTGCCTCTAAGGTGCTTGCCTCTAAGGTGCTTGCCTCTAAGGTGCTTGCCTCTAAGGTGCTTGCCTCTAAGGTGCTTGCCTCTAAGGTGCTTGCCTCTAAGGTGCTTGCCTCTAAGGTGCTTGCCTCTAAGGTGCTCGCCTCTAAGGTGCTCGCCTCTAAGGTGCTCGCCTCTAAGGTGCTCGCCTCTAAGGTGCTCGCCTCTAAGGTGCTTGCCTCTAAGGTGCGCGCCTCTAAGGTGCGCGCCTCTAAGGTGCGCGCCTCTAAGGTGCGCGCCTCTAAGGTGCGCGCCTCTAAGGTGCGCGCCTCTAAGGTGCGCGCCTCTAAGGTGCGCGCCTCTAAGGTGCGCGCCTCTAAGGTGCGCGCCTCTAAGGTGGTTGCCTAAACCCTCCACCCCTCCACCCTCCATCCCTCCACCCTCCATCCCTCCGCCCTCCATCCCTCCATCCCTCCACCCTCCACCCTCCATCCCTCCATCCCTCCATCCCTCCATCCCTCCACCCTCCACCCTCCACCCTCCATCCCTCCACCCTCCATCCCTCCATCCCTCCACCCCTCCATCCCTCCATCCCTCCATCCCTCCATCCCTCCATCCCTCCATCCCTCCATCCCTCCATCCCTCCACTCTCTTGGGGCACCGTCACCTGCGCACCCTCAAATCCGTCTTCATTTGAGACCCTCCAAGTGTTGTCTATCCCTGTCCTCTGCGTCTGTCCCTGTCCTGCGTCTATCCCTACCCTCCCCTTGTTCCTGCCCTTCAGTTCATCGGAGCATCTATCCCCGAGCAGCCCCAACTGCTGACCACCCCCACCAGCACCGGCAGAGACGGCGGAAAGGACAAGGAAAAAGGGGCGGACAGGGAGAAAGGGGCAGAGAGGGAGAAAGGGGCAGAGAGGGAGAAAGGGGCAGAGAGGGAGAAAGGGGCGGACAGGGAGAAAGGGCCACCGGACACGCGGTTCAAGGGGCATGCCTTATGTGTTGTGATGGAGCATGTGGATCACTGTAGCCTCAAGGAATATCTTTTCCGGGCAGCCCGGGAACGGAGGAAGCTGCCGATGCCGTTCATTGTGCAAGTGGCATTCGATCTCGCCAAGGGGTGAGTGCAGCCCTACCCTGCCCCCCGCACCCTCCATGTCACGCCAGGGTCATGGCTGTATTGCTCTCTCATGTGTCACCACCGTCCTTCTAGACACCCCCACGCACCCAGAGTAGCGCAATGAAAGTGCGACCCTCAACACACTGAAGAAGTTGCTAACCCCACCATCCCTTCCCTCAACAACTCCTCCTCCACTCCCCTCGTCCCTGCTCCTGCTCCCCCTCGCCCCCTCGCCTCTGCGCCCCCCCTCCTCTGCCAGCCTGGCGTATCTGCACTCCATGGGCGTGGTGCACGGCGACATTTGTCCCGAGAATCTGCTTCTGGACGGCAATCGCCGCCTCAAGATCGCACGATTCGGGGCGGCACGGGTGGAATCCTCCCACCCGGTTAGCATCGCTACTGGCAGCTGCCGCCGCACCCTCAGCTACAGCGCGCCTGAGGTAAATGACTTTTGAGGCCCCTCATAAATGACATCTGCCTGTCCCCTACAGCTTTGCCAGCTGTGCATACGTGCAGCGATACCACCGCCTCTTTCCCCGCACATCCCTCATCCCGCAGGTGCTCTTCTCCCAGCCCTACGGCCGCTCTGCTGACGTGTACAGCGTTTTCAGCTGTCACTGAGTGGTGTGCAGCTTCAGGATCTGCTCCCATATGCAACCACATGCCCCTTCCCTCCCTGCACCCTCCCAGGTGCTCTTCTCGCAGCCCTACGACCGCTCTGCTGACGTCTACAGCTTCGGCATCTGCCTGTGGGAGCTCTACGCTCGGGAGGCCCCGTTCCCGAACCTAGACTTTGGGGAGGTGGCCGATGCTGTCAAGGAGGTGAGGGGTCAATGGGATGAGGCAGGATCGAGTGGAAAGGGGTGGGGATGAGGGTGATTTGCCGCTTTTGTTGTGGGAGATTGTGGTTCCATAATTCGTTTCGCGTTTGAATGTTTTTTTTTTTTTTTTTTTTTTTTTTTCTACTAAAAAAATTCGAGCTTCTGGTTGGTGATTTGTTCACGTTTCAAAGGTTTTGTGGGAGTCTTCTTTGCCGAGCCTAGACAGTTGGGGGGGTGGGCCATGCTTTGGCGCCATGCATTTTGTCATCCTTCCCATGCTACTCTGTTGTGCTTTCATTCCCCCCAGAGCTTCCATTCGACACTGCCACGTGTGCGATCCCCTTTCCCACTCCCACCCTCCCCTCACCCTGCAGGGTGTGCGCCCCATTATATCTCCCAAGTGCCCCCCTGACTTGGCCAATGTTATGCGTTGCTGCTGGGAGGGTCTCCCTGCTGCGCGCCCCTCGATGCCCCAAGTTCTTGCCATGCTGAAGAAGGTGAATGTCTTTGCAGGTAAATGAAGCATGCCTTATATTATACCGTATGTATGTTATGTGAAGCATGCCTTATATTGAATGTATGAAAGTGTTCCTTTATCTAGCTGCTCACCTCAAAGGTGAAAAGCTCACACAGAGATGTGCATATATTTTAGTCATGGTGTATAATGAATGCATATAATAGCACAAATCCTCACGACAATAGCACCTAGATTCAGTATTTTTTTGTTCATTAGGCTAATATTGCGAACGGGTTTCACTGGCCTCGAGATTTCCGCAAGTGCTGACCTGTCGCCAGCCTGAGTGCGGCGCTTTTTCCTCGCCTCCCTGGACGCGGAGATGTGCTTCGAGAATCTCGAGATGTCCTTCCGCGCATTTCTAGAAAAAACTGTCCAGGAAGAATGGACCGATTCCCAAGGTTCATCCATTCAATCATCGCATCGCCTCGCCGCCAGTCTCGTGCAAGGAGTTCCTATGTGCAAGTGCATTGCATTTCGTTGTCATGAAATCTTGAAAGGAAGACATGCAGTTGTGGTTGTTCCAAGCGAAGCTTTGACCATTCAGTTGTCCCTTCAGGTTTGACTTGGCAAGGGGTATTCAGTGAATCACGAGCACAAGGAGTCCGACACGACGAGAATGTTATTGCATCCCATCAACTGGGAACTAACAAATTCGGTGCTCTTACAGATTTATTTTCGGCAAGGAAATTTCTGAGGTTCGCACAACAGTACTAAGAGTTTAGGAGAAGTCTATAGAAGAACGCATTAACTGCACCGCGCTTCGTCCCTTAGCGCAGGCCGCGCGTTTATATCGCAACAATCAGAAACAAAAGTTTTCGCTCAACCATCAGACATGGCCACAGGAGGAACCGCGGAATCTGACGGGGTGCTGCTACGCGTGCGAACCGACCCATCCAATCGAGTCAAAGACGAAACAATGGAGTACGGCGCTGGGGATTCCTGGCTGGGTAGGTCGTATTCGGTGCAGGTGGGACGCGGCAGCCATGCAGACTCAGGGGAAGCAGCGGAAGCAGCGGAAGCAGCGGGAGCAGGGGGAGTGGGGGGAGCAGGGGGAGCAGGGGGAGCAGGCGGAAGGAGGCGGCGGTCGGAGAGTTCCCTGGGAGTAAACATCGCAGCGCTGGATAAGGCGTTGGACCGAGTCATGTCCATGCCGTGGCGCGGCGAGAAGAAGGCGGGCGACGGCGACGGAGGCTTGGGATTGGGAGCCGCTTGGCAGGAGAAAGCGGTGAATAACGGGAAGCATGTGTTGGGTAGGGCGCGTTCGCATGGAAACGGGGAGGGGAGTTCCGTTCTTGCTGCCGCTGCGGCGGCCGTTGCTGCCGTCCGCGGTGACGGTTACGCGGTGCCGTTTAGTGCCGGTGTCTCAGGTTTGCCGTTAAACAAGTGCGGTCAGGACGCGACGAATAAGGAGCGGTGTGCGGAGGTGGAAGTGGGTACGGATGGGCGGCGGGACGCAGGCGATGCTGCTGTAGCAGGCGACCCCTCGTGGCAAGTTGATTTACGGCGAGTGACTATAAAGAAGGAGATTTTCAGGGGCGCGTACAGCACGGTGTATAAGGGCACATTCAGGGACATGGATGTTGCCGGTACGCCCTCTTTTTCCTCCGTTTCTTGGTGAACCCCCCGACTCGCCAAGTCACATTATCTCGCCCCCCCGTCTTTTGCACTGTACCTGGTCCCTCCTAACTTCGCGCGCTAGATATGAGAAGACTGAATTCTGCCTGCTTCCTGTCTCCGCTCTCTTCCCTTCACATCCGTGGCTGCTTCTCCTCGTGTCATCCCGCCCTCCCACTCCCGCCACCCCCCCCGCGAGCGCGTGCAGTGAAGGCCATCGACTGGGGCGAAGCGGGGTCGTTCTCGCCGGTGCTGCGCGCCAAGCAGAGAGCCGCGCTGCTGCGCCAGGTGCACGTGTGGCGGGGCCTCAAGCACCCCTACGTGACTCAGGTGAGCCAGAGGTCGGCGCTAGAGTCAGCTTGACAGGTGCGTTTGTGGTCCGGGTGTGGCGGGGGGCCTTGTGATGGGTGTTTTGAGGCGCCTCAAAATCCGCGTGCAGTGAGGTGTGTTTTGAGGCGCCTCAAAATCCGCGTGCAGTGAGGTGTGTTTTGAGGCGCCTCAAAATCCGCGTGCAGTGAGGTGTGTTTTGAGGCGCCTCAAAACACACCTCCGGGTGTGGCGGGGGGCCTTGTGATGGCGTGGAGCATGTTGCGCTGCGTGGCGCTCAAGAATCCCAATAAGCTCCCTCCCTCCGCGAGGTGTGGTGCAGCGAGTGCGGTCGTTAATTCTCCCTCTTACTTTACGACAACCTGCACCCTCCCTCCCGCCCGAACCCCCTACCCTTCTCCATCACTCCCGCGCATGCAGCTGGTGCCAGCGAGCGTGTCAGCAGACCATTCCCGCTGCACCACTCCCCGCAGCGTGGACGCGCGCCTGAGGAGCGTGGCTCTCAAGGAGTAACCCCCACTCCCTCCCCTCACCCCCATGCCTGCACATCCAGCTGGTGCCAGCGAGTGTGTCAGCGGACCATACCCGCTGCACCACTCCCCGCGGTGTGGACGCGCGCTTGAGGAGCGTGGCGTGGTGCCTCATAATGGAGTATGTGGGCGACCTGACTGTCAAGGAATATCTGGCGCGCGCTGCCAGGGAGAGGAGAAGGGGGGTGTGGGGCATGGCGTGGTGCCTTATCATGGAGTATGTGAACGACCTGACTCGCTCAAGGAGTATCTATCTTTCTCTCCCTCTCCCCATCCCCACGCCTGCCCACTCACGTAGCTTGTAGCAGCAAGCGTGTCGGCGGACGCTTCCCGCTGCACCACTCCGCGCGGTGTGGACGCGCGGTTAAGGGGCGTGGCGGGGTGTCTTATAATGGAATACGTGGGCGACCTGACGCTCAAAGAGTATCTGGCGCGTGCCGCCAGGGAGCGCCGCAAGCTGCCGCTGCATATGGTGGTGGAGCTGGCTTTGCAACTCGCCAAGGGGTGAGTGAAGGGAGGGAGGGAGGGAGGGAGGGGGCTGAGGGGCGTGGCGGGGTGTCTTATAATGGAATACGTGGGCGACCTGGCGCTCAAGGAGTATCTGGCGCGCGCTGCCAGGGAGAGGAGGAAGCTGCCTCTGCATATGGTGGTGGAGCTCGCCTTGCAGCTTGCCAAGGGGTGAGTGGGAAAAAAGGGAGGCGGGGAGGGGGAGATATGGGGGGAGTGTGGTCGAAGTGTGTTTCACTTGAGTTCGTGGGCGACCTGACGCTCAAGGAGTATGTTGCTCGCTCGCGCTGCCGGGGAGAGGAGGAAGCTGCCTCTGCATATGGTGGTGGAGTTGGCATTGCAACTCGCCAAGGGGTGAGTGAGGGAGGGGGAAGTGCGGAGCGAGTGTGAGAAGGGGGGATTCTGTGGTAGAAATGTGTGTTTCACGTGAATGAAGGGGGGTGGGGTTGGCTCAGCGGGACCTGGCTCTCAAGGAGTCGGTGCCTGGCCTACATCCACAGCAGTAGCATGGTACACGGGGACGTGTGTGTGTCCTCCTGACAACCTGCTGCTCACGCCCTTCCCCCTGTCTTACCCAATCACCCTCCTCCCACACTCACCCACCAGTCTGGCCTACATCCACAGCAGTAGCATGGTACACGGGGACGTGTGTCCTCCTGACAACCTGCTGCTCATGTCCTTTCCCCTGTTCACCCGGACCCTCACACCAACAACCACAAACCCCAACCCCTTCCCCCCCGCAGTCTGGCCTACATCCACAGCAGTAGCATGGTCCACGGGGACGTGTGCCCCAACAACCTGCTTTCCCTATTCACCCCTAACCCCACTCCCACACCCCTGGTACCTCTCCTCTTCCTCCCCAGTCTCGCCTTCATCCACAGCAGCGGCGGCGATTTGTGCCCGGCCAGCGTCCTCCTCACCTCCTAACCCTTTTCTCGCTCATCCCCTCACCCTCCCCACACTCACACACCAGTCTGGCCTACATCCACAGCAGCGGCGTGGTGCATGGGGTGGGGACGTGTGCCCTGATAACCTCACGGATCGCAGGCGCCTCAAGATCGCTGGCTTTGGCGTCGCTTGCTTCCTCCCCATCCCCCCCTTCCCATCCCCCCTCCTCCCCCCACCGTCCTTTCTCATCCCTCATTTGCCCCTCAGTCTGGCCTACATCCACAGCAGCGGCGTGGTGCACGGCGATTTGTGTCCCGACAGATCGCCCCTTTCACCCCCAACCCCACACCCACACACACTCCAGTCTGGCCTACATTCACACCAATGGAGTGGTGCATGGCGATTTGTGCCCCGACAACGTCCTCCTCACGGATCGCAGGCGCGTCAAGATCGCCGGCTTTGGCGTCGCTCGCTTTGAGGCTGACTGCAAGGCGCGTGGGCGCGCGGGCACACAGTGCACGGATAGCTCTGGGGCTTCTGGGGTCGGCTCTGGTTGCCCCAAGCAAACTGTGGCCGCTGGGAGCGAGGGGGGGACAGCGGCAGGGGGAGGGGCGGGGGCAGGGATAGCTATGCTGAAGCTGGGGGCAGGGTTAGGGGTCAATGGAGGGGCAGAGGTGGCTGTAGCAGAGGCAGGTGCGGGGAGAAGGGCGGGTGAGGAGGAATCTGCTCAGGCGCAGCAGCAAAGTGAGGAGAGGCCTGGGGTAGGGCGGCATGTGGAGGTCGGCAGAGGCGAGGCAGGAGAGACGGGAGAGGCAGGAGGTGCAGTAAGGGAAGGAGGGGTAGGAGGGGCAGGAGGGACAGGAGGAGCAGGAAGGGGAGAGGAAGCAGAGGAGGGTGTGGTGGGAGGGGGTGGGGAACGAGGGGAGGCAGGGGGAGCGCAGCAGGAAGGGGGGTGGTTGCCGCATGACGCCAGTGGAGAGACGGGGTCCGTGGGATACATGGCTCCTGAGGTGCGTCTGTTTGTGCTGAGGTGCGTTGCTTGCGTGCAATGCTAACAGATAGACTAAGGATTCTTGAGTTGGCTCAAAACGCTGCCACATGACGCCAGTGGGGAGACGGGGTCAGTGGGATTCATGGCTCCTGAGGTGCGCTGCTTGCATGCACTGATTAACAGTAGATACAAGCAGGTGCAAGCAGGTGCAGGCAGGTGCAGGCAGGTGCAGGCAGATACTGCCATGCTGACATTCACCCCTTAGCCATGCCATGTTCTTCCTTACCCGCATTACCTGCTACCTGCTACCTGCAGGTGCTTGCTGGGCTGCCATACGACCGCCGTGCTGACGTGTACAGCTTTGGCATCTGCCTGTGGGAGCTGCTGACGTGTGAAACCCCGTTTGACTCGTTTGACTTCAGCGAGATGGCTTCTGCTATCAGTGAAGTGAGCGTATTTCTGTGTTGCTCGCATGGGGTGGGGTGACTTCTGAGATGACTGAAAGAATTGACTCGTTTGACTCGTTTGACTCGTTTGACTTCTGAGGGATGGCCTCCACTATCAGTGAGGCAAGTCTTTCCGCACTGCTCGCATGAGGCATGAGGCATGACATATGGCTCGTCTCAAATAGCACAGCACACATGGCAACTGGCACATAGGGCACCCCTTTTCCTCCACTCCTCCCTTCCTCCCCTCTACCCCTCCTCTTCCCCCATCCCATCCTACAGGGAGAGCGCCCCATCCTCCCTCACAAGTGTCCTTCTGACTTGGCGCATGTCATGTGGGTCTGCCAGGAGGGCCCTTGTTCCCTCCCCACCCCTTCCCCTCTCCCCCTCCCCCTTCTTCGCGCCCTCATCCCATCCCATCCCACAGGACGTGCGCCCCATCCTCCCTCACATGTGCCCTTCTGACTTGGCGCGAGTCATGCAGTGCTGCTGGGAGGGCCCTTGTTCCCTCCCCACCCCTTCCCTTTCCTCCCCTTTTCTCCCCATTCCCCCCCGCACCCCATGCTGCCCCACAAGTGCCCCCTTGACCTCGCACGAGTCGTGCGGTGCTGCTGGGAGGGTCCCTGTCTCAACCCTCTTTTACTCCCCTCATCCCATTCTCTTTCTCCATCCCATCCTGCCAGGGTGTGCGCCCCATCCTGCCCCACAAGTGCCCTCTTGACTTGGCACGAGTCATGCGGTGCTGCTGGGAGGGCGCCTCTGCTGCGCGCCCCTCCATGCCGCAAGTCATTGCCATGCTTGACAAGGTTAATGTGTTCAGCGGGAAAGAGGTTCCAGTATACAACATCTGAGCCACCTTTGAGAGGTGCACACTGCACAAACATACGGTACTATGAGCCGCTTTTGAGAAGTGTTGAGTCCAGTTTTTCTTCATGCCGCAATTGCGCTGCTTGAAAGGTCAATGTGGAAAAGAGTTGATCTGCAGCTAGCAGCTACACTCTACAAGGGTTATTTGGACATGATTTGCTGATGTTCAAAGCGCGTAGTTAGTAGTTACACTGCAAGTATCAGGTGTAAGTTGATGCAAAATGCGGACTGGCAAATCTGATGTTCCCATTACATCCGTGATGTGGCCCATTGAGTTGTGAAAACACTAGCCAATCTGGGAGCATTAATGAATACACAAAGGTATTTTACAAGCACCGTGCATTGGTATGATTTTTTGCCTGAAAAGGTGTAATGTAGCAACTTTAGCTGTTTGTGCACACACTCAAAGAGAGTCTGCTCCTATCGAGTATGATGTCATCGGTGCTGCAAGGTCGAACACGAAGCCCAAAAGCTCTGTCCTAAAAACCCCCCACAAAATTTGTTTTGTTCGCCCTTGTACCCTGACAACTCCTTCCCCCCGTGTGATTTTCCCCTGCATGGTCGTGCTTTCCGCGTGTTGCGCGCAAACTCCCGTCCCTCCAGCTCCCCCGCTTTTCCCCCCGCTAGTCATTCCCCCCTCGCCTTCAACACATACCTCCTGCCGCATATTCTAGGATCCTTTCGGACCTTTTTCTTCCTCCCGGGTCTGCGTAACTCCCGCACGCGCAACTGGCGCTGCAGCAGCACTTTAAGTACTACTCGTAGCCTTTCCCTTTCCCAGATTTAAGGAAAATCTAAGAGCTGCAGCCATGGCGGAAGCAAAGGCCTGCACCGTGCGGACGCGCAAGTTTATGACCAACCGTCTGCTGCAGCGGAAGCAGTTTGTGAGCGTCCTCCCTGGCCCTCGTCCTCCCTTCTCTACGCGTTTAATCCGGGTTAGGTTAATCGTAAGCGAATCGTGAGCACATTCGAGCATAGCTCGTGGCGCGCCTTGCCCGTTAGCCCAGTCCCTGCGACGTTGTGCGGTTTGAAGCTTAAAGTGCGATAGCCACGGAGCGATAGTGTGCGCATAGCGCAACGGGAGAGCTCGTTATTCTTCCTGTCCCTGTGATCGATCAGTCGACCGTAGTCTAAACGGGGGAGTGCAGCCTTGGAGTAGTTTTTATAACGAATCCGGATTCTGTTCTGACTATTTTTGCACGCGGGTGTGGCGCGACAGCGAGTGACGCGGGAACGGAGTGTCGCGTAATCCGATGAGCCAAGTCTTGCAGAGCCTCGCGGTCGGAGCTTTTAGGTTTGCCGTAGTCGCAGGTTTGTTGGTTTGAGGTCGATCGAAGGCAGCGGCTCGCTGGCGTGTGGCATTGCAGGGCCTGTTGACCACGTCGTGACTCGCTACGGTGGAGTTCGGTCGCGGCGTTTCGAACCCGAGTAATGCTAGAGCTGTGCGCCAAAGGAGTGCATTTGTGGTGCGTTACACAGGATTATCTGGTGGCTGTTTCAGCCAGGCAAGGCTAGAGCTCTGCATTCGACGCACGGTTAGGTTACAGATTTCTTGACCGCATATTTGAAGTGTCAATCAGGACAGCTGGGGATGCAGCGTCGATGAGAGGGTGATCGAACGAGACGATCTCGAGTTTCGCCAATTTCAGATTAACCGTTAGTGTTAGGGTTCCGTTATCACGCTGCCTATGAGTAGCGGAAGGGGTGAGAGTTCCGTTGTAGTTTGCCATCTCTCAGTTGCCTGTCGCACTTCTCTTACACTGTGTGGCAAGCGTTTTGGGGACGTTCTCAAGTCGGCAATATAAACCCCTACCCATAGTTCAGTTGTCTGCTGCCATGCTACCTTCGTTCAAAAACTCGCTCGTCCGGAGCGGGGACGGAATGCCAGATTATCTTCGTTTGATTCGCTGCAGTCACCGCCTTTGCGTTAGACTCGCTCAGCAAACACTTTTTACCCCTTCCCGTTCCCTTTCCCCCCTTCCATTCTCTCGCTTCCATCCCCCCCCTTTGTTTTTCGTACCCCCTTCCGCTGGGCCTTCGCATTTTTTCCCTTGTCGGCCCGTCCCTTCTCACGGCGCTCTCCTTGTCCTTCCTTCATCCCCTGTGCGTCCGACGTGGCAGATCATCGACGTGCTTCACCCCGGCAAGGCCAACGTGTCCAAGGTACGATCCTTTCCCGTTTCCCGTGTTCGTCTGCTGCAGGATTTACTCTTCTCTGCTGCGCACAGCGAGTGCTGTTCCCCGTTCCAGTCCCCACCCCTTCCTTCAACCTAGACCGCTTTCCCTACTCGCAGTTTGCCATTCTATTTCCTGGATTGCATTCGTCCCCTGTCCCCTCCCGTCTTCCTTGCCTCCCTCGACCCTTCTCAACTCCCTCCCTCCCTGCCCTCCTGTTCCTCCGCGCAACTTCCCTCCACTACCCCGTACCCTTTCAATGTCCGCCCCTCCTCCAGTCCTTCCCACTCTCGCCCTGCTACCATTTCCCCTTTTTTTTCTCCCGCATGGAGTGAGAGTTGAACCACCTCTCACTCATCTGACCTCTGTTCCGTTTTTCGATCCCTCTCCCTCCGTTTCCCCGCCCCTCCCCCCTTCCCTTCCCCCTCCTCTTCCCCTCCCCTTCCCCGGCTCCTCCCTCCCCCGCCCCTCCGCCTTCCCCCGCCCTTTCTCCCGTTCCGTCCGCCCGCCGTTCCGCGCCAGTCGGAGCTGAAGGAGAAGCTGGGCGCGATCTACGAGAAGAGCGACCTGTCGTGCATCTTCGTGTTCGGCTTCCGCACGCAGTTCGGCGGCGGCAAGTCCACGGGCTTCGGACTTATCTATGACAATCTCGAGGCCGCCAAGAAGTTCGAGCCCAAATACCGCCTCGTCAGGGTGAGTGAGCATCCGAGAGGTCGCGGGTTCGAGTTCTGAAAGAGAGAATGTTAGTGTTATAATGTGAATCTGCTGAAGGCGGGGAACCCACGGGCTTTGGGCTCATCTGCGACAATCTCGAGGCCGCCAAGAAGTTCGAGCCCGTCAGGGTGAGCATCCGAGAGGTCGGGGGCTCGAGTCCTGTAGGAGATAGTGTTTCTAGGTGATTTTGCTAACGGATATTCGAGAGCCTTGTAGACGTGAGGATGTGCAAATGAGAGGTTCGGGGTTTGAGTACTCAAGGAGAAAAGTTGGGAGCAGCAGTGGAGGATGTGCGGAATCTCATCCAGACGAGGGAGAATTCTGAAAGCGTCAAAGTCTGGTTTAAGTGCTGCTCTGTTAGGTCATAGTAGGCGATTGCCTGGTCGAGGTGACAGTATCGTCTCGCCACGTCAGAGACAGGTGCAATGAATACGTTGCCTAGGCTTAACGCGCTTTGGCAATGCCTTTCCTGCACCTCCGCTCATTCTTGGGGAGTGGGAAGTGTCATTATGTGGAAAAGGTGGTCGTGCGCTTCTTTTGAAGTAGCAGAAGTAAGCTGAGAGTGCGGGTCTACTTTTTTCCAGAGAATTATATCCTTGCTGCATAGTAAAAAGTGTGGTAACAACCTATGATATGCTGTTGACACCCTCACTGACCTCTTGTTCTTGTGTTTCCTTGCCCCTCTCTTCTCCCCCTCCCTTTTCTCCCTTGTCATGTGTGTGTGCTTCTGCGGTGGTGGTTGCCCTGGTGGCCTTGTGTTGGGTGGAGCAGAACGGCCTGGAGGAGAAGAGGAACAAGGAGAGCCGCAAGCTGATGAAGGAGAGGAGGACAAGAGCCAAGAAGGTCCGCGGTGTCAAGAAGGTGAGTGCAGCAGCAGCAGCAACCCAGAAATTGTCATACTTTTTTTTTTATCCTTGCTGTTTGCATGGATTTCGATCTTGCTGCCTACCAACATCCTTGCTTGTGTTCGTTATGTTTATTATTGCAGACCAAGGCTGCTGCTGCTGAGAAAAAGAAGTAAGCTAGCTGATACATTGCCAGCGGGTGTCACACATAGGGCAATCAAGGACTGTTTCACAGCGATATATCACGGGTTAGCACAGGATATGCAGGCTGATCCTAGCATCGTGGCTGAAATGGCTTTCCATATCGCTAGTTCATCTCTTTGCCATTGCGTTCCTCTGTAATCCCGTGGTAACGTAAATTGAGTCGTATCATTGGCAAAACCTGTTCGATCTGGAAGCATGATAATGTAGGTAAAAAAACAGCTTGTCAACTACTTTGGTGCGCGTGTCGGTGCAGTTAAAGACGGGTTAGAAAGGGAGATGATCGGGATCAAGCCGCCACACAGTTTCCAGAAGGGTTCGAGCTGATTTTGTACGATGAAAAAAAGTTAAAACCAGGGTACACATTCAACGCGACTCCAGGCTAAATTTTGGGCGGCATGTTTGCGGGAACTGCTGATTGGTTGACGAGTAGCGAATAAATAGTTGAGAATGGGCGAGCATGGGGCTTTTCGTCCGTGAGAGATGAGGCTTGGCAGGGGAGAAATTGATAACACTCAATTGCGATTCGATTGATATTCGACCTTGAAATCTCTATCTTGCCGTCACTGAACCACGTCTATGGGCTACGGTGTGGTGTGTGTGGTGTGGTCATGTTCGAGCCAGGAAACGACGCGGAGAACCACCGTGTTGGGCACGAACTGCCAAAAGTCAAGTTTGGCTGGGGATTTGGGATGGAAGGAGATGGATGGGACAGGCAGTAGAGAAAGACAAGCGAGCGAGCAGACAGAGCGAGCGAGCGAGCAGACAGAGCCCTCGCAAATTGCTGGAGTATTTTGGGGCTACTCACAATCGAATGTTTTGACGAACAGTAGGGTTCTCTCGGCTTCGAATCAGGCCTGTCGATTCAAGGGCATTTGCCCTTAATGCCCTGAACATTCCGGGCGAACTCCTGGCCAGCTTCTGCGTTTCAAAGGGCTGGTTTCGGGGGGCGCCCGTTTTTCTTACGGGCTGATTTTGAGAAATAGGGGTATAAACCCGGATCCGTTAAGGGCTGGTCTGGGGCCATTTCCTGATTTACCGGATCAGGGGAACAAGTAACCCTACGAGGATCCTAAGTAGCCACTCTTCCCCTCCCGCTCTCACCATCCCCGTAGCTCCCACATTCTACCTTCTTACGTATGAAAGAATTTTCTAAGTCCATACACTCCCTCACAGTTCCAAGTATTCACACTGGACTCGCGACACTGACACCCTTACGTGGCGGAGAGGAACTCAGCCCATCGGTTCACACTATTAGTACCACATGAGAACGAATGTCCTCGGAAGTGCTTTGCGTTTGTACAAAAGAATTAAACAACTTCTTTGCTGACGATGTTTAGCCCTACGAGGCCCCTCCTCCCCTTCCCCACCCCTTCCCCCCCCACCCCTGCTCTATGTCTACAGTTGAGTTGTTAGCATGCTCCTTCCCACTGCGAAGTAATAGTTCGACCTTCGCCTTTGGGACATTAGTGCTCATGTAAATTTCTTAAGGAAGCCCGGATTTCAAGTTTTGATTTTGACCTGCGCCCGTGATCGTTAAGGGCTTAGAATTGGTCACCTTCGCGAAAATCAGGGCCAAACTTCGAGCAGCTCAGGACTCAAAGTGTTGGCCCCAGGGACTTCGACAGGCCTGCTTCGAATTTTGAAGTCGCTCTGCAAACGCCGCAGCGAATGAAGAGAAGAGAAAAGCGATTGAGATGTCCCATGTGTTGCTTTCAGGTTGGAGGAGGCAAAGTAAAAAAGATGAACTGTTGAGCTTTCACGCGGTGAACCGTCACACTGTAGGGTGGGCCGTCACGCAAGCTGGTTCTGGAGACTCGTGATCATGACAAAAGCGTTTGTACCGTAACGCGATGCGTGTACTGTATTACCCGTATCACCCAAAGTAATTTTGCACCTCGAATACCCCTAGACCACGGTTCCTGTGAGTCGTTTAGGTGCCCAAACATGAATTGGTGTGGGTTCGAAGTTGTTTCGATGGAAACCCTACATACACTTGTGTAATTAGATTTGTAATAAGCATCCGCACGATTCGAAACACAATCGAGAATCTACGACCTTCAAGCGTGGGTGTGCAGTTCGCAGCACAACTGTTTCCTTCAGACTGTGGGAAGGAAAGTAAACCAGATACAGAATGAATTTGGGATGCAGATTCCGATGTTGTGTTGCATTTTGTTTGGTCTTGCTGTCGTTGCACAATGCACAGCCATTGTGTGATGGTCTGTGGTCAGCATGACGACGCAAGGAAAGGAGTCGGTGCACGGTTCGGTTCGAGGGTGGACCGAGGTGGCGCCTGAGAGCCACCGCTGCATTCGGCGCATCAGTCGTCACGAAGGACTTCTGGAGCGGAATTTGGAGCGAAGAGGCAGTCCTTCACTCTCCGTTCCGTACCTCGCAACGGTGTATTTTAGTGAGGTGAAAGCACAACATCACTTTCTAAAGTGAACCGTTGTGTCTCTGACTTATAACTAGCTTCAAGTCTCAAGGCGATCAACGTTTTGAGCTTTCACGTGCTGTTACTTTCTTCTACTGATTTAGCCAGCATGTCTGCCGCTGTCTGCCTTCCAGCGGCCACGGAATCCCATCTGTATCGTCGTCGCAACCGAATGCACAGCCTTTCCGTAGACCTCTCGCGCGTTCCAGGCATCGCCCACCGACCATCACCCTCCTCGTCGCACTTATTGCTAACGAAGCCCGCAACCGTCCTCGAAACTCCCGCGGCCTCGTCTCGCCACGAACATGAGCAGCAAAACTCCCGCCGCATCCCTCGCGGTTCGTCCGCTTCCAATCCGCGTGTTTTGAACGGCGAATGCTTCTCACCGTTATCCACGTCACCGACGTCGTGGCGACCAAGATCCCCCACCGTCGTGCGCAGCCCGCACGCGCAGATCATCCGCCAGCAGGCGGAATCAGCGCAGGCGCGCGAGGCGGAGATGGACCGCGCGTGAGAAAGCGCGGAGCGCGCATGGGAGAGCACCGCTGCCGCAGAGCTTCCCGCAACCAACTCTACTGAAAAGGAGCGCGCGAGTCAACCTAACGTGAGCCGCTGCTGCGGCGGGGATAGTAGCTGCGGCGATGACGAAGATTCGCTGAGCACCTCCCCGATTAAGCGGCTCAACGGCTCTAAGTTTGCCGCGTGGCGCTCTCTTCTCTCCCCTGCTGCCTCCCGTCTCCTGACACAGCCTCTTAATCTGAGCCGCACAAGTCTAGGAGCCGGGAGTGCTCGTGAGCGATGCGGATTTGGAGTCAAGGATTCACGAAGCTTCCAAGCAATGCTGATGGACCTCCAACGAAGCATCGAGTCTGGCGCGCGGGAGGGAGCATCGTCGCCCAGCATCGGCGCGGCGCGCTCGCCCTCGGCGACCGACGCGCCTCACTCCACCGACGCGCATCCGCGCCGCCTTCATCGGCGCGCCCGGTCCCTCTCCAGCATTACTATCTCCCAGGAGTTTTCCCTCGTCGAGGACTCCGCAGGTGTTCTTCCCAAGCCGTCCGAACTTCAAGATTGTTCCAGCAATGGCGAGGATGCTGCGCGCCGCGAGGGGCATGGCACGGGTAGCGGAGCGTCGGAAGAAGTCGACATTCGTCACAATGCTGGGGATCTCGCAAATCGACGAATGCCTCTACACAGTTCGTCGCTCCACGTGGTCGCCGATTGGTCAAGAAGTGGGGAAGCGCCGGCTCGATTCCTAGGTCATCTGCCACGCAAGTGGCCGGCCATTCCAACATATGCTTGAGCCCTACAAACGTAAACCTTCCTAACCTAGGCCCTAATAACCTCCCCAAGGCCGGGTCCGCGTCTCCACCCTCACCCGTCCCCTGCCTTGTGCGGCGACACACCAGCGCTTACCCTGGGCGTGACGCAAGTGCTGACCTTACTGCGCCCAGTCACAGGCGGAAGGTATCGTTCAATTCTGTAGTGCAGGTTAGAGTGTACCTGTGTGTATAGACATGATCTCCTAGATAAAAATTCTTGCATTGCAGTGATTCAGCCTGCACTGCATTGTCATTAGAGCTGGAATACATTGTTGCGAGCATCTTCCAATTATATCAAAGATGTTGCACTGTGCACTCCATCCATCCTATTTTTGTCAAAGAGCCCAATTATCCGGGTATAACATGCGTGAAAGAGATTATGCGTTTTAAAGAATAAATCATCGGTCTTGCCTCCAAGATGGATGTAAGTGAAGTGTATATATCTTAGTGTAAGCCGTGTCACACACAACACATTCGACCTGGTTCAACGTTTTTGGAACTGGCGATTCCACTCCACAGGTGACGTGATGAAGCAATCGGATGACCAACCAGATCGAAAAGTCGGCCTACACTCTAGCGAGAAAGTGGGAGTCCTGTAAAAAGTCGGCCTTTGGTGTTGTTAAGAAGTCGGCCTTTCGGTGTACTGTACAGAAGCAAAAGCAGGAAATGTCCCATCAGAAGGGAACACCCGAAGAACAGGTTTGGAATGCTGTCCGCAGAATGCATCCAGACCAGGCCTGTCGATTCAAGGGCATATGCCCTTAATGCCCTGAACATTAAGGGCTAGTTACGCTCCAGCTCCGATGCGGCAAGTTCTGGATTCGTACCCCACCCGTGCCACTAAGTGCCACGTTCGATCCTTCCCCGGATGCGTTAAGGGACGAAACCAGGCCTTCCCCTTTATCTAAGTTTTGGTTTCCGCTCGTAGGACCCTCCCCCCCCAGGGTGTCCGAGCGAGCCCCCCCCCCCCCCCCCCCCCCTTTCTCCTTAGCCTGCACTAGAGCGCGCCAAGGGGATTTTTCCCTTAGCGTTTTCTAGCCAACCTCGTGTGTGTAGTGTGTCTCAGTCAGCCTTGGAGCAGCCGAACATTCCCTTAGCGTCCAATACGAGCTCGCCGCAGTTTACAGCTGTGACACATAGGATTAGGTTGGGTGAATCTGGCTAAGTTTATTGGCCACACAAAACTCCAAAGCACGTCAAAGGAACCGAAGCACACCAGCGTAGCAGCTCTCTCACCACCTTCGTTCGTGCGTGCCACGATTCCTCTCCACCACCATGCATGCCATCCACCACCACCACCCACCCAACCTCCCCCTCCTCTCCTCTTTTGTTCGTGCCATGTTTTCTCTTCTCCACCGTCAGACCACCTCCACGGTACCGCCCACCAACGCTCACTGCTCTCCATCTTCGTTCGTGCCGTGCTATGGCACTTCTCCTCCACCCACCCACTCTGCCGAGTAAAGCTCGCGTCGCCTCGCTCACACCCGCGAGGTTTATATTTTTGCTAGCTTAGTCGTTCCCTTCGTCAGCCACAATCGCACACCATGGACCATAGCGAGGGTGAAACCCCTCCTCCAGTTTTGCCCACGGCCACGACTCAAGTCTCTTATTCTCATACTACAACCGAGACCGAGCCCTACGTAGCCCCTGATGCCGAAGACATGCTAGATGTCGCAATCTCAGTGTTGGACCCACGCCTCGCACATCAAGCCACGTCGTCACAATCCACCCCGAGGTCTGCAGCTCGTTACCGTCAGGTTCACCTGAGCTTCGCTAGTCCGCCACCAGACACGCGAAAGCGCGCACGATGCGTACCGCCACCACCCACTGCTGAGGAGCTGGAGGCGCAAGACAACGCGATCGCGGAGGATGCAGAAGTTCCCCCGGACACCGAGAATCCAGAGGCCGAGAGGAGTCTTGCACGTCGCTTCAGCACGTCGTGGAAGCAGACGTACTCGTGGCTGAGCATGAAGTACAACAAACTTGAGCGCCAGTATGGTATGAAGTGTAGCGTCTGCTGTAAGTACGCTCCTAACACCAAGTCTCCGTTTGGCGGTGCTGGAGTCGGTGCAAGGGATTTTCAGAAGTCGGCGTGCCGCAACCATGACCAGTCCAAGGTGCACCTCGCGGCCATGGAAGCTGAACGTCTCGCTGAAGGCACGGAGGTGAGGCAGTGCAGGGTTTTTGAATATGATCAGCAGCGATCCTGTCATGGCGCGGGTCGTCAAATGCATGCAAGGAGCTCGCTGGATTGCGCGGAACGATGCACCTATCGCGCTCTACCCCATGCTGGTGCGGTTCATGGCGGAACAAGGCTGCCCCGACATGATGACCGACGAATCGTACGGTCGTTATTACTCGCGGTACGTGCTTCTTAGCCTCTGTTTCTGCTTCTGTTATCCTGTTTTTGCTTCTGTCTGTATGCTGCTGCTTTGTTCTTACTTCTACTATTGCTCTATTGTGGATAACATAATCTAATTTTCTTTCGGTGCTCAATGCAGATACGCCTTCGGCGAGTTCGTAGAAGCTATGGCGGAGCATTTGGTGGCCAAGCAGCTCGTGGACATCAAAGAGTCGGCGTGGTACAGCCTTTCCTTTGACGAATCCACGGATCGCGCCCGTGGAAAACATCTGATCGTGTATGTGCACTGCACGACACGATCGTGAAGTGCTTGTGGTCGAAGGACATGTCGCTGGACAAGCTTGTCGGGGTGTCAACGGATGGTGCATCTGTGATGACTTGCGCGAAGAACGGCGTTGTCGCCTTGCTTCGGAAACGCTGCCCGTGGCTGGTGGCGATTCACTGCGTGGCGCATCGGTAAGGATGCACTGCACTGCTTCCGATCGTATGTTACACGTGTCCCCTCCCCAACCATACTCACGCTCGTCTCGTGCTTGTGCAGCGAGGCATTGGCTGCCAAGGATGCCGCGAAGAGCTTCAAGGAGTTCAACGTCGTTGACCAGATGATCCGCCAGACTGCAGAGCGTCTCGGGCGTTCATCGACCGATCACAAGACCTACATGCACCTCCAGGACGTCATTCTGCAGACGCACCTGGAGGTGCAAGGCTTCTGCACCGTCCGTTGGTTGTCTCGCGGGGATGCTGTGAGTCGCTTCTGTGACGTGCTGCCGGTGCTGATGTGGATGTGGACGAAGGAGAAGGGCGACACGGAGAAACTCGCTACCAGCTTCAAGTTCCATTACATGCTGTATCTCCTGGCTGACGTGCTGCACCTGCTCAACGGACTCAATCTGTCCTTCCAGAAGCAGACGGTAAGGTGCAGATGAGCATGGCATTATCGCTTCTTGACTTGTGTGCATGGCTCTAATTTGCTCTACTGTCATAGAGTAGGAACCTTGTATAGGTTCTAACCTTGCATATCTTCTAACTCTGTAAATGTTCTTCTCCAACATGTTGGTGTTTTTGCACATTGTTGTATGTCCTTGGCAGGAGTCGCTCTTGCTGACATAGAGCCGCAGATGCGCCTCTTCACAGCCACCATGGAGAAGAAATTCAAGAAGCAGAGCTTCCATCAGGCTCTCACCAACATGCTGCGCACGGCAGACTGGAAGGATGACTATCCCACCATAGTCTCCCTCTGGCGTGCAGTCTCTGTGTTGCCCCTCAGCACAGTTGAGTGTGAGAGGGGCTTCTCCCGCCAAAACATTATTAAGTCGTGGGATCGTGTTGCTCTCACTGATGTTAGGCTGGGGGAGCTGATGACGGTGAAGATGCTGGACTACCCGGTGGATTGGGCAGCGGCCTATGCCTTGTTTGAGGAGAAGGGGAGGAAGGGGAGGAAGCCTGCCAAATAGGCTTGCATTGCATGTTTGGGCAGAGTAGAGTAGTTAGGTCTGCATGCTAAATCTGTAGTAAGTTAAAAGTATAACATTGCAGGCTAGGTAGGTTGTATGACTATTTTAGACATGTGTAGTATTTCAGTAAGGGTAACATGTTGTAGGTATGGGTGACTTCTAATAAAAGTTGAAAACTGGACGTATCATAGTAAAATACAGTGTAAGTGCAAACTTCAAACATGCCCTGATTTCAAGTTTTCAATTTGGGGTGCGCCCGTGACCGTTAAGTGCGCCAAACCCCACACCTACCCCTAACCAAGGGTCAGATGCTTAGGAGCTGGGGAGCGCAAGTACGAGCCCCAGACACTTCGACAGGCCTGATCCAGACGCTTCAGGGCAGTGAAGCATATGCGCACGTGATAGGTCAGCCCGATTACACCTGCCCGGGGGAGAATTAGTAGAGTGCAGTTTTGCGATCTGTAGCTTCTAGAAGATGCGTTCGATGGATGAACGTCCTCCGCAAGCGCATAATGCGGCACATCTGATTGGAGGAGACAAGGCTCACAACTGGCTCGTTGTGTGCGGTACACAGTGCGCCGCACGCATACCTGCCTAGGCTGGCAAAGCAAGACCTACGCGAGGTCGCATACGCATTGCATTGCCAAGAGAGAATCGCCGCCACAGAATTGAGGTTTCATTCTGAGATAATGCCAAGTTCTCCCACCTTGAATTTCGCTGAGAGTCGGGTGGGGATCACTTTACTGCACTTACACAAGAATCCTAGTTTCTCCACTTGCTTCGACTAGTAAAAGGACAGAATGCTTGACTTCCCAGCAGCACGGCTAACGCACTATTATACGCACGACTCTTCGGAAGAGTCGCACGATTAGGAACGCCGCTGACAAATCGGGAAAGCTCAAGAAGACGGCTTGTTCCACACGGCTAATATGCCCTAACGGTGGTTGCACCGTTTCCTCACTGCTGTAGCGCACACGGCTAATATGCCCTAAGAAACAACCGCACAACAGCACGGCTCTCCGCGGAGGCTAATATGCCCTAAGAAACAACCGCACAACAGCACGGCTCTCCGCGGATTTATTTATACCACTCGTTCGAGAATGCATAACATTCGACTTCCGTCAGACGGAAGAGGAGACAAACCCCTCCTTCTCAAGCTCGCAGCAAGCATCCCACGCCTGCCAGCTGCAGGCCTAGCATTCGCGGCGGACCGGAGAGCAAACTTGTTAGTAATCGTAGTACGGAAGAAGGACGCCATTACCCGCATCCGAACACGATGTCGCAGTCGCACCAAACCCTGCGCTCATCGCGGAGGCTTAATCTCTCTCTGAATCTCGCGATCGTCCCGAGTTTCGACGCGCCGGCCGAGCCGGCCGAGCCGGCCGAGCCGGCCGAGTCGGCTCCATGGCGGGACGAACGAGACTCCGAGTCCGAGTCCCCGCCGAATGGGCGCTTCGCAGAGCGGCGGCGCCGCGACGAAGCGTTGAACGTTACAGCGGGCGGTCCGGGGTCCTCCGCAAATTTTCGCAGAGGCGTTAAAGGGCCGGGCGGCAATGCCTTGCCACCGGCGCCGCGCCCTTTCTCTCGTTCCCTGTCCTCCCCCGCACTGGGAGAACCGGCCCCTCGTGGCTTCTCCCCTCGCTCGCCCTTCTCACCGCTGTCCTCCGCGCAAAGCTCGGGAAGATCGTCGTCGCCGTCCTCGTTATTGTCGCTTCCGGTACCGTCACCGTCCACTGGAGGCAATAGATGCAAACCCCCTACGGATGGGTCCACTATCCGCAGCTTGAGTGCTTCCCGACTGCCTTCCTCGTAGGTTCCTCTCTTTCTCCACTCTCCTACTCCTGTTGACCTCGTATTAGATTGTTATACAGCAAGCGTTTTTCTACCATACTTAGATAGCATCGCCTTAAATAGATGAAACCTCCGCAGGTTCTTCCGTTGGTCTGCTGCAGGAGTGGTCCCATCTGCCTTACCTCCTCTTCTTGCTTCCATTTCGTCCTTGCCCCTTTTCTGTTCACGCCCCTTCCCCATTCTCGTGCTGTCCCACTCCCTCCTTCAAGGCTCAGCGCTTCACTCCCTCTCCAACTCACGATTGTTTAGAGACGTCTCAAAACCATTCTCGTGCTGTCCCACTCCCTCCTTCAAGGCTCAGCGCTTCACTCCCTCTCCAACTCACGATTGTTTAGAGACGTCTCAAAACCATTCTCGTGCTGTCCCACTCCCTCCTTCAAGGCTCAGCGCTTCACACCCTCTCCAACTCACCGTTTCTCCATCTGCTTTTCCCCCTCCGACCCCCACTGCATCCGATCCAGCATTGCGCGAGTGAGAACCGGCCCTGCTGCTACAGCCGGCGCAAGTACCGCCATGCAAGTCAGCATACACGGCAGCACTCAAGGCAGCAACCAAGGCAGCACCCAAGGCAGCACCCAAGGCAGAACCAACATGGAGTTGAAGAGCCAAGCACCAAGACAAGCACCTGCTGCTACCAGCGATACCGGCGCTGGCCTTCCCAGCCCAAGCACCCGCTTCTCCCTTCGCCCTCCGCTCTCCCCGCAGCCTTCGCTCACCCCTCACTCCCCGCCCTCCCCTCACACACCGCTCTCCCCTCACCCTCCGCCCTCCGCTCGCCGGCCTCTCTCCCTTCGCCCGCCTCTCTCACGTGCTTCCTCAGTCGCACCGGGGATTGATCAGCCCGCCCGTAAGACCCCTGCAGGAAGCGGCGACGCTGCAGCACCCACGGATCGTCTGTGCCCAACCTCCCTTACAGCCGTGCCCACGTGGCAGCCGCCGTCCCCCACACCTGTCACGTCCACGTGGCAGCCGCCATCCCCCACACCTGTCACGTCCACGTGGCAGCCGTCGTCGCCCACACCCGTGTCCGCGTGGCAGCCGCCGTCGCCCACGCCTGTGCGCAGCCCGCACGCGGAGCGCATTCAGCGGCGCGCAGCGGAGGCCAAGGCGCGGCAGGCTGAGATGGACGAGGCGTGGGACGCGCTGCTGCTGCAAGACGACCAACAGCAGGATCATGCTGCTTCTGCTGCTGCTGCTGCTGCTGCTGCTACTGCTGCTGCTGCTGCACCGCGTGCAACAGAAACGCCGCCCATAAGCCAGCCCGGCCTTTCAACCAGCGGCGCCTCTTCAACCAGCAGTACCGAGGATGCTCCAACGAGCACACACACTCGAACCCCTCACTCTCCTCCAACCAAGGCTGGTCCCACCGCGACCGCAGCAGGCGAAACTGCTGCTGGGGATGCTTCGCCCTCTAAGCGAGTGCTGCTACCTCTGCCTGCTGCTGCTGCTGCTGCTGCTGCTGCTGCTGGTGCTGGTGCTACCCGGCCGTCCTGGGGTGCTTCGTGGCGGCTTCTGATGGCTCCTGGGCGAGGCGTCAAGTGTAGGAACAACGGCCTAACGGCTCTTAGGAGTGACAGTATCGAGTGTGCTGCTAGAGGGGATGATGCGGGGAGTCTGAGTGAAGCTGCAAGTGCCAGTGTGAGGTCGTCAGGGGATGTGACCGGCAGCGTGGTGGCGACGAAAGGGGGGGGTGTGAGGAGGTTCCGTCGGTCCATGTCTCTCAGTGATGGCTTGCTAGCCGCTGCTGCTTCTGCTGCTGCTGCTGGTGGCGCTGAGGATGGTGCTGCTGTTGTTGCTGGTGCTGGCACTGGCGGTGCTGCTGCTGCTGCTGGCACTGGCGGTGCTGCTGCTGCTGCTGGCACTGGCGGTGCTGCTGCTGCTGCTGGCACTGGCGGTGCTGCTGCTGGTGCTGGCACTGGCGGTGCTGCTGCTGCTGCTGCTGGTGCAGTTCTTGTTGGTGGTGGTGGCAGCATTGTGGGAACCGAGACCTTTGGGGCAAGGCGGGCACAGGAATCGCCCCACCGTTTGCCGAGCCGTTCAACTCCCAAGACACTTCACGACTCGTTTTCGTTGGAGCGGCTGGATCCTGCATCTCTCGGCGGCAGCATTGAAATAACATTTGAGAATTCTCAAAAGTCATCTCTCAGCGGCACCAGTGGCAAGTTGTCGAAATGCGAGACTCTCACACGCGCCTCCAACCACCCTGCCTTTCAGCTGCCTCCTGCGCCGGGGGAAGAAGCAGCACTGATGGGAGCAGCGAGAACTGGGGCTGAAACAGAAGGAGGGCTACTAGGAACACGCCCAAGGGCAGGGGCACTGGGACCGTTTGCTGGGACGAGGACGACGCAGAGTGACAGCAACGTCAATCTTCTGGCTAGCCATAGGATGAGAACACAGCATGGCAGCAGCATCAACCTTCTGAGTGACAACCAGAACCCTTCTCCTGCGTCCCCTTCCAGGAACACCACGCTTCAGGGCGGCAGCTCACCAGAGTGCGCTGTACTCTACTCATGTGCCTTTCCCAGTCTTCCCTGTCCCACTGCCGAGGCAGAAGCAGCCTCCGCCAGCCAAGCAGCTCCCCTGGGAAGGTACCATCCTCGGACCACCTCCAACCGCTGACAGGGGTTTGTACAGGAGAGGCACACCGCGGATGAGCTCCGCCTCACCACCTCCGCGGACGAGCTCCGCCTCCTGCTCCGACCTGCAGCAGCTGCAAGCAACGGCGGCTCTCCACTCACCACCTCTCCACCCAGCGACACGGCCTCCCTGCCGTGCACCTGATTCACCGGCGGCAAAGACCCCCACCTGTAGAGTCACGAGCGGTAGGGGTGGCGCACTGCGGGTGAGCTCATCCTCTTCCCCCTCAGCCGCTTCCCCCATAGCCGCCATCATCCCTTCCTTCGCTGATTCGCCGCCGGCGACTGGGTTCTCTTCCCGGTCGTCATGCTCCGATCTGGAGGAGCTGAGAGCTGCTGCTGCTGCTGCTGCTGCTGCTGCTGCTGCTGCTGGTGGCGCTGCTGCTGCTGGTGGCGCTGCTGCTGCTGCAAACATTTCCTTGGGGGGGGATTTAAAGATGCGAGTCTCTCTCCCCTCCGCTGATGATTCCTCGCATGCAGGCGCACTTCCCTGTGCGTCGCTCCCGCGTCGCAGCTTATCGTCGTCTTCAGCGCTCTCCTCCTCGGCTCCCCTGCTGCCTGTCTCGCCGCTTGCTCTGATGGGGGAGAATGCGAATGGAACGAGGCCGCGACAGCTGCGAAAGAAGGTGTCGTTCAACTCCATCGTTAGGGTTCGAACGTTTATCTCCACGCTTGACATGGAGCCTTCTTATGAGGCAGTAGCATGCTAAGATGGGTGAGGAGGGAACTGGGCCGCGGCAGATCCGAAAGAAGGTGTCGTTCAACTCCATTGTTAGGGTTAGGACGTTCATCTCCACGCTTGACACTGGGCCTGCTTATGAGGCAGGACCTGTAGCATGCTAGGATCATGCTAGTTTCATGGTGCTCTGGTAGGGAACCTGTGAGACAGTTGCCGCTGCCCGGAGATGGAGCGTGAGGGAAGAAAACGGCACGGAATTCTGGGAGTCTCTATTTGAGAGTCTGACGACGTGTAACTGATAGTTAGATATTCTGCTACCGTCTCACGCTCTTTCGTTTCGCACTTGTCACTCTAAACGAATCTGTTTGTAATGTTAATCTATTCGATTATGTCGTGACATGAGCTGGCCGAGCCGAAATATTGATTTAGGCTGGATGCTTAGGATGCTCTTGAGTCCCGGCCCGGCAGTTATCGCAAACGGCATGCATGCTGTTCCTTCAACCACTGATCCCTAAATAATGCTGTCGACCTATAGCGACATCGCAGTGACATAGCTACTAGTCGAATCTATTACCGATTCAATGTGAAGAAAGTGCCAAAAATGTGTGGCATCGTCTCACCAAAGTGCACGATTTAGGTAAGGATTCTGTGGGTGAAATGTTTTATGTAGCGGTACATCAAACTGTTCATGCTTTCATGCAATCAGGTCTGACAATGTCGCGGTTTCCAGCTCTGGTGACCAGGTTCTTCCACCTGAATCCGAACGAAGTTGTTGGCCATGCTTTCAAACGTGCACTTTCTCCACCCCTGCCCAACATTGGGCTCATACGTGGCACCCTGCTGGCTTTCGAGCGACCATTTCAATCCAGCGTCATTTCCCGCATCCACCGTCCTTTTTCCGCTTTTTGAGCTGTCAAACTTCGCTCGTGCAGTTCACCTGCACCGACGTGGAAGTGTCCAGCCTGAACCTTCCGTCAGCAGCTCCCACAGCCTTCCATCTCCCTCCTTCCCATCGGCTACTCGTCGACATCGACGCGGTACGATGGCGTGGCGGATCGAGTTAATCCCCATCCCAAACAGCGCATCATCTCGCGGAGATTCCGCGTAGTCCGATCGGCGGTGGTCCCCACACCCCACCGTTTACGCCTTCCTTCCCCATCATCTGCACGTTCCCCTTCGTTCTCCGCCAAGCCACACAAAACACACACACCCCTGTCGAACTGAACCACCCACCGTTGACTGCAGGCTCCACTTCCATTACATATTGAACCTAGACTGAGTTGGGCATAGTTCACTGATCATCTAACTTCTCATTCCTTCGTCTGCGCAGAAGCCGTCACCTGCTGCTGCTCACCGTCATCTACGTCTTTTTGCTCGATTCGCCCGTTTTGCGAGGTCGTCCTTCCTAAGCGTCACCGTTTTTCACGCTAACGTCACTACCATGGCGGAGACACAAGACGTCACCATGATCTTTGTTCATATGAGCAACCGCAGCCTTTCGGAATCGACGGCTTCATCGCAGCAGGTGTCGTCCTTGATGAGACGGAGTCTTACTGACGGATCATCCTCGTTATCCAACGAGAGCCACGGGTTTCAATCCACTGTGAAATCCATGTCATGCCGCATTGATACTGCTCGGCGTAGCATGCTTGGCGACTCGTGGTGGGTTTCAGCCTGAAGTGCCATCTCGTATCTTGTCTCACCTCGTACGCGATCCTGCATTCGAAGATGTCTGGCTTCCGGCAGTTGGTGGATCGCGTATGGGCTCACGCGAAGGCAGTCAGTGCCCAATGTTCATAGTGATGGTTGTGGATACGTCGCGGTCGCGGATGGTTTCACTATGCTAGACACTACCTACGTGGGTTGTACATGTGGTACTGTGCTTCCAGCCACCATTTAGATGGGGCAGTGTATAGGCAATGGCCTGAAAGGCCTTGCGGTCCATTTTTGTATCTTGCAAGTTGTACATGAGCTGTGTATATCTCCATTTATTTAGAATATTGACCTTCTGAATCTATTGTCGGTACTGCAGCAATTTCCTAGCCATACGTTGCGCCATTGTCTGACGAGTATACTGACCAGGCACAATCAAGTGGGGTATTATTATGATGTATGTACAATGGTTGTGAACTATTTAACTATTCAATCCACTCCACATACAGCACCTCTTGGTTGACAGGACAGTGAGTAATTGAGTGATCAAGTTACTCGATAACCACCCGAAACAAATGTGCTCTGAATAGGTAGTCACTGGTGGACACATCTAGTGGACTAAACATCACGAATTGTCAGAGTCGGTGTCGCCTTCAAGCGGGACCTCATGACGAGGAGCATTGTACTTGTCCCGGAGAGGCTTGCACGGAATGAAGTCACCTCGAGAGTCAGCTCCGTAAAATAAAAGATACAGGTACGGGTGGATCATTTGCTCCTGCAGGGGGAGGGGATGACATGAGGATGGTAGAAGAGAAATCAGAAAAAACATGGTAGGTATAGGAGGGGGTTACAGACCGGAGGTTGATAAGGAGAGGGAGAGGTTGGAACAAATTACCTTATCAGGCTCCTCAGGGACTTCAAGCAGGTCCTCCGCAACTGCCAGCCAAACAGCCCAACAAAGGTACACCAATTGCAATCAATTCCATGATACGCGATGAGCCTGTTGAGCACAAAATGTTGAGGCTGCAATCACGAGTTGGCCAATAACCAGAAAACTCGCTTACCATATGCAACCGGAAACCTAGCTCCATTGCCCAAGTCAAGTAAGATCTGCAGAAAAGGTAGAAAACAAGGGCAATGAGATATACAGCTGTTCTGCTGACATGAACAACAAACAAACGAGCCGTGAAAAGCGGGAGAGAGGCGGCAGCTGCATAACTACACATGTTCATCCAGACCAACCTGGTAGAAGGGCTGGTTGGGACCCCGCGTAAGTCGGCTAATCTTAGCTCCCGACATCCACTCCTCAGTCTCACAGCACATGGGGTCCATCCCTGCGACAATGCCTCGATAGCCTGTGCGCACAGGTAAGGACGCGGGGGTTCAGAAAAAGAGCAGGTTGGGCTAAGAGAGCAGGGAATGGATCCAGGCATAGCAGAGCGAAAGGCCCTGGGAGCAATTTGATCAGGCATTCACAGTTGAGATCATTAAGCAAACCAAACACATTTTTTACAAGGGCTCACCAAATTCTTTGTGATTAACTTTCTGTCCTAGCCGAAGCTTGTATGTGACATTGCCCATAGCCAATGCTGCTGCAGAAGCTGCCAGCGTGTCACCCTGCAAAATAGAGAGCACTATGTCAAAAGTTTGATAGTTAAGCGTAAATTGTGTTCACTAATGTCGCGGTGAATATTCCGACACCCCAGATAGTCCACTACTGTAACGTCACTACTTTTGTAGCCAAGTGACGCACCTCTAGTTGGCTCATTTTCTTTCTGATCTCAGCTGCTTCCTCATACAGCTCCTGCTCCACTGCTCGCTGCAGCCCTGCTCTGTCAGTAGCATCCAGAATCCACATGATAAATAAGACAATAACCAGGGAAACCATGGAGCAAACACATTTGTCTGTGCACAAATTTATGTTACAGATGAATCCGTGTACGTAGTTCCTGGCATATGATCTTACTTGAGGCGTAACAATGCCAAGCCCTTGTCTTGAGCTGCTTCTTTGGATGAGGTCCCCATTTTTGCTTCCCTCTGTCTCGCAATTTCACGATCAAGCTGCAAAAGAAATATAATCAGAGGGTAAGACGGCCAGAAAAGGAGTCGGATTTGGATAGAACGATACGGGACCTGCAAAACACAGGAGTCAAACCACATCAATGGTCTTACCTCGGCAATCTTTTCGCGGAGTAGCTGAGCAGGTTCGTACTGGTCCAAGTTGAGCGCTTTCTGAGGAACGAGTAAGAGGATCAAAATGCTGTTTCCGGGTGAAAAAATGACATTGGTCTAGCGAAATTGACATTGCAGACTGTAGTTCTCGCATGATGCTGCTGGCACGTGAACATTTCCTTGATTAGAAAAAACAGCGAACAGTTCCCTCACCTGAAGCCTGGTGTTCAGATCGAGTTGGTAGAAGAACAGCAGCAGCTCCTCATTGACCATGGAGCTGTGCTCAACAGATGGATCTAGACCAGCATTTCCGCTGGTAGACGACGCTCGTGTAGCCGTCCGATGACGGTGTGATTCAGGACGCATCGAACGGTGTGTCACTGAACGGTGTGACAATGCACCGGAAAGAGTTTGACGTCCATGAAATAAATCGTTCGTATGATTTGAGAACAAATGGTTAAGACTCTGGCGTAGCGATCCTGACGGGGAGGGAGGTCGTCGACAAGGAATTCGTGGGTCGAATGAATAATTCGCTTGAAATGTCCGACGCCTGCGACTATGATAAGAGGTCCTATGCTTCAAAAGTGTACCAGACTGGACATGGGATACGATGCAAGACTGCGACATGTCGCTAGCTGCTGATTGTCTTGTGGTGTGGTTGTTGATCCAAGAACGCTAATCACGGCGTTGCACACAAAGGAATGCGGGCCTTAAAGAGCGCCTTGCAAGTAACAAATTACGGGGCTCGCGAACACTAAGCTCGGTGAGTCTGGGCTAGTATACTTCACTTTCTATGTAAGCATTCCTACCTCAAAATATTCTCCTTTCTGGCCATGGCTTCCATCGGGATTTGGGCCAGAACAATCAGCAAGGGAGAATACTGGGAGATTGTACTGGAGGCATCACTAAAGTCACCGAAGTTCCAGACATTGGGACACTTCGCTCGCGCACACGTGTCTTCATTCTGAGAAAAACGAATTACTTTTCTGGGTATAAATGAATTTGAGACAGGCTGTCGGTCATTAGATTGAAATCGCGGTTGAGTATGACGGAGATGTAGAATGTTCCTCCTGGAACTTTGCGTGACGCCGCAAACATGATTGGCTGCCTGCCTTTGCGAAAACAGACAGGTTCGCGAATGGGTATCTTCTCAGACAGAAAGTCTGCATCAATCACAGTGCAGTCAACCAAACTTGTCGCCAACTGACTGACTGATCGTCCCAAGGTTTTCGTCAGTCACCTGTCATTCAGTGAGCCAGCCGTCAGACACAACCTCCCCCTCCAATCAATTTTTCTGCCGGCATTTCCTATCTTGAGCCAAGGTTCCTGGCTGATTCTGCTGCTGATCGCAAGCAGTATTTTTTTCCGTGGCTCTAAATTTGCAGCCATGGCTGAAGCTCCTGCTGGGGAAGGCACCATGAAGTGGGCGATCAAGACAGCAGATGCTGTGCCTGCGTCGGAAGGGGTGCTTTCCAAAGGTGAATCCCTTGGACTCGCAACTTATGCACAGAGTTCATCCTCGCCAGTCTGAGCGAGGAAAGATCAATCCTGTTTAGTAGCTTGAAAAAACTTTCTAATTTCTTATTTTGATGCAGGACCAACGTATAAAAGTTTTTACGCCAAGGATGGATATGCCAAGCTGGAAGGCATCAATACCGTCTGGGAGCTTTTCGAGTACGTCTCAATTCTCCAAATGATGTGTTTTATGTCTGAATACGCCTAGTCTTCTTACTGTCTTCCGTGTACAGCATCTCAGACTCTTGAGCCATCTTATCTTCGATCTCGATCTCTTTTGGTCAGTCGTCTTGCACGATTCGCTAACCTTCGAAGTGTGATGATCTCAGCAATTCCGTCAAGAAATTCGCGAAGAACAAGTTCCTTGGAAAGCGATCCGTCGTCGACGGTGTGGTGAGCATTTTACTCAGCTTATAACTCGACAATTTCCGTATCTCTCTCAAGTACCAGTAACCTATATGATAGCAGTGTGTACCTGCGAAGTTGAGTTTCGTGCAATAAAACTCTGTTCGACGTGAATATTCGTTCAGGCTGGTCCGTACGAATGGCAAACGTATGAGGAGGTTGGTGCTACAGTCAAGAAGATCGCGTCTGCACTTCAATTCAACGGCCTTCAACCCGTAAGTTGGCGCTTTTTTAAACCAAATGCCCATATTTTCCATGGAGGTGAAACTTTTTTCTGTGTTTCGAAGGTTCTTAGCATATAGTACTAACAACGTCGTTCGTCTCCAACTGATTCTGAAATTAAGTCTCATCCGTGCGAGTTTCTTTGGTGCAGCAAAGCCGCGTAGGCATTTATGGGATCAACTCGCCAGAGTGGTTCATGACCATGGAGGTGCGCCTGCTTCTCACACGCATCTATAAAGCATTGCTCGTGACTTTTGAGTCGACCTAAACGTCACCTGCTTCTCACACGCATTTATAAAGCATTGCTCGTTCACCATCACCGGGCTTCTGTTTCTTGATCCCAGATAATTTAGCCGAATTAGCTGTGCTTTGGATTCCGGCTGAAGTTGTGCTGGAAATGTTTGTACCTTTTGCAGGCATGCAACAGCCAATCGATCCACTGTGTGCCACTCTATGACACCCTTGGTACGTGTCCGCTTTGAGGTTCCTTTGCATCGCTGAAGGAAGTTGATCCGCTTCTTGTCAGCATAACTGACCCTAATCCCCTTACCCGAAACCCGTCCCCTCTCATAACATTGACCCTCCGTGTCCCCCCTCTCTTATCCTCAGGCCCTGAGGCAGTGGAGTTTATTTTGAACCACGCAGAGGTGTCTCTGGTCGCTGTCATGCCTGCCAATCTCCCTGCGGTGAGCTTTCAAGTCCAGTGCGACCCAACCAGCTGTAAAATTTCTGGCTTTGACAGTGCCTCCAAATTCTGTGCACGTGACTAATCTTCACCTGTGCGTTGTTTTGTTTCGATTCGACCCCGTGATTCTCTTCCTATTTGCAGCTTCTCAAGAGTCTCCCCAAGTGCACAGAGCACGTAAAGAGTGAGTGTCGTTCTTATCCGGGTGTCGTCTTTTGACAAACTGATATTTGAGCCGCACTTTGCAACAAACCGTCTCGAACATGTTCTTCCTTGCACGAACCTCCGTCACCCCTGTGTATGTGTGAATTCGTTCCTCCTTTGTTCCTTTCAGCTGTTATAAGCATGGGAGCCGTGGATGAAGAGTCGAGCAAGGCACTGAAGGACCTTGGCATCAAGGCGCTTTCATGGGAGGACGCCCTTAAGGAGGTACCACTCAGTGAGGTTGTTTTGTGGGTCTTAAGGCTGTAACGGTCTTTGAAAATCAGCTAGCTCAGCCTAGTCTCGTTCAGTAAAAACATGTAAACCAGCGTAGACCAGCTATGGGGTCTATCAAAGGAATCCTGCGTGCCCTTTTAGGACAACAATTGCAGTCATAGCAGGAGAAATGATTATCGATGTTGGAACGAACGGCACATTCAGCTCACACCACTTGTTCTCTTCTTCTGTGTGTTTTCAGGGCGAATCGAACTCTGCAGAGCCAATCCCTCCAAAGCCAGAGGACATTTGCACGATCATGTACACTTCAGGTACTTCTTGTTGCACCATCGCATGTAGCGTGTTCAGTTAAGTTTCAGGTATGCCCGTTTGTGCCGTATTGCGTAAACACAGAAACTACCACCGTTGCAACCTAATCATGTTTTTGCTCATTTCAAGTCGTCATACCTGCGTGTGTGCCCTCCCTAATTCCCCTTCTTTCTACCCCAGGAACCACTGGCGAGCCCAAGGGAGTTCTCTTGACACACAGGGCATTGCTGGCTGCCATTGCCGGGAATAAGGATTTTGTTGAATACAATAACATCCACGTAAGATTCGGCTGCATACAGTCACAGCAGCACGTGTGATAATTTTGAACAGCAAAATGTTCGTACTCGATCTTTCAGCATCAGCCTTTGTGCCCGTCCATATATCTGCCGATTCAACCTAGCACTACCGGTTGTCAGAATAAAAATTTTGGTTCCAAATTTCAGGCTTGTTGTTCCAAATGTTGTGTCCCCCCTGTTTCTCCCTGCCTTCACAGTTTGGCGAAGACGAGATGTATCTCTCTTACCTGCCCCTGGCTCACATCTTTGACCGCTCAGCTGAGGAGCTCATCACCTACTTCGGTGGCGCCATTGGCTTCTGGCGCGGGGTGAGTCACCATCTTACGCGCATTTAGGGTGATCCCTGTTCATTGCCCTAGCAAAAGGCCCAGCATGAGCAAGTGAGCCTTTGTGGTTTGTGTGCGAGTCCACGCGTCTGGATTGCTCTCTGTAAGTTAAACCAAAACATGTACCCCTGTCCCTCTCATTCTTCTGCTGGTTGTCTCCACCTGTGCCCCCTTCTCCCCACCTCTTTCCCCTCCCTCCAGGACGTCAAGTTGCTCACAGAGGACATTGCAGAGCTCAAGCCCACCTTCTTCTGAGAATTATCAGAAGTGAGAGTTTCCAAAAGTGATTCCCGCCCACCCCCCTCTTGTCCTCCCTCCAGGACGTCAAGTTGCTCACGGAGGACATTGCAGAACTGAAGCCCACCTTCTTCTGTGGCGTGCCTCGCATCTTCGACCGCATTTACGCTGGTCAGCACCCCCCTCTCCCCTCTCCCTTCTTTCCACTCCGACTTCCTTCGTCCCTTACCACCACCATTAGTCATTGCTGTCCCACTGGTTCCCTGGGGTTTTCTTTCTTCTGCCTGCCCAGCGTCACACTGCCATCACAGTGTTCCTTTCTCATAGACCTTGCCGCTTATCATCACCACCCGCTTCCTGCCAAATGTGAAACTGAAGCAGCAGTAGGTGTGACCGAGTTCCATTTAATCTGACCGTTTGACCTGACGTACAGCCGCAATTTGGATTGCGTCTCTGCCTCTCCGTTCACCCCTTTGCACCCAATATTCTCGTACCTGCTCCTTCCCTCCTCTGCACCCCTCTGCTGCCTACCAGGCGTGAAGGCGAAGGTGGAAGCAGCGGGGGGCATCAGCAAGTTTCTCTTTGACCTCGCCTACAGCCGCAAGCAGGCTCATCATGTCCCCACCT